AGTACTAGCTTTTATAAAGAGATATAGTTTATCTAGTATAAGCACATAGCCTAGTTATATCAGGGTAGTAGATAGCTTCTTCTACTAAAGGTAAGGTAATCTGTATAGACTATATAGTGATTTTCTTAGGAGCTATACTCTCCTATACTTATATCTACCTAGTATTAATCCTATATATACTATCTTATCCAGATCAGATTAGATGAATGTATTAATAATATCTAGTTAGATAACTTCTAGGTTAAATATAGTAATAAGAGATATTACTATTCTAAAGAGCTTAATAGCTAAGGTTATAGCTACTATATTATCTTAGTTAATAGGTTAAAGGTCCCCCCTAATACAGAGATGTGCTTTAAACTTTAAGAGATAGCCTGTCAAGGTGCAGGCTCGTAAGTAAACGGAAGTAGGTTAATGAGGTAGTTGACACTCAGGCTGGCTACAGTGATCTCTATCTATCTGTTCAGGCTGCAGGGCAGGCTGGTATAGGTGGGCTTTATAGACAGGACGTAGCTCAAAGAGCTTCAACAGGTTTTGGAATTGTGCGGTGAAGATATTCCTAAGCTCACGTGATTTCTCATTAGCGGTTCCAACTCCTTTCCACGGCAGCACCGTGACATAGCCTTCTTTATTAAATTTATATGTAAATACCTATTTAAGAGGTATAATAAAGATATTATCTAGTTAATCTACCTTCTTATAGGTGCCTAGGGCTATAAGATTATTAATTTCCTTTTTAGCTGTATAAATCTAGTTACTTTTAAATATATAGTATTACATACTTTTCTAATTCTTTAGGGGTAGTAGAAGGTTATCTTAGTAAGGCTTTTTATTTAGCTTATTAAACCCTTCTTATTTCTTATGCATCCCTGCCATAAACATATAGTATATACTTATATATAAATTAGGTGGCAGTTATAATATTTAAATATAAAAAGATTATCTTAGCTTCCTCTCCTATTTCCCTTCTAGAATCTATAACAGGCTTAGTATAAGCTATATCTTCTTAGGTAGTTATACTAGTGTATATAGTAGTAAAGGTATTATTTACTTAATATAGGCTCTCTTTATAAGTAGAGATCTTATAGATATAGGTTCTAGATATTCTAGATTTCTTACTAAGTATAGATTAAATAGTTTAATAAGGTCTAATTCTATTATACTAAGATTATTATTACTTTCACCTCCTAATAAATCCAGGCTTAATAATTCATCTCTTATTAGGACCTTTAAAGGCGCCCCTAGGGTACCTTCTAGGTATTTTTATAGTAAAATCTGTAGTATCTAATATATAGCTAGTACCTATAATATATATAGTAGTATCCCTACTAGAGTATATACCTAAGCACTATCTTCTTCTTCTAGGTCAGGGAACCCCCCAGGCATGCTAAAATAATTCCTTAGTATTATCTAGTTAGCTAGAGCTGCTAGAGTAAGGTCTAAGCTATTCTACCCTAGTAAATCAGGGCCTAGAGATAGTAAGATAGTGCTAAGCAAGGGTTAATTAGGTAAGGGAGTGGGATCTAAAGTTATTAGGAATTCTAATTACTTACTACTAATTAGTTTACTTACTAGGTGGTTAGATATGCTTAGTTTAATATTACTTATAATGTTATTTGCAACATCCTTAGTAGGTTTAATATTAAGGTATTTAACCTAACCTTTAATACAGTCCTTTAGTATCTCTAGATAGTAGATATTTTATAAATTAACTAGTTTATAGACCTCTAGTAAGGCATAGACCTCTGTAGGTAGGTTAGGGAACCTAATTTAAATACCTAGTTATAATAGTAGGTTATCTAGATTATACTTTCTCATCTTATTAAACACTATATTATGTATATAGAAGACCTAGTTTATATATATCTTTAGGTTAAATATCTTCCAGATATTAGATGATTCATAACTAATAAGGTATCTAATTATTATATATAGTTCTATCTTACTAAGTCTTAGTATACTATTATAGTAGTAGAATACTATTAAACTAAACTTATAAATTATTAAAGTATCAGGCTTAATTATCTTATACCCTAGTAAATTATTTAATATACTTATAGGAGTAGTCTATCTTCTATTAACCTTAATTAGGGTATAATTTAGTATCTAATTAGTAGCATTATAAGCTTCTAAATACAGAGAGTAAGATAGATTTAATTCTAGGAGTATTACTTATATATATAAGATTAATATTCTACCTACTTACTTAGTAGGTCTATTTATCTCTAGTATATTAATAATAGTCTAGTTAACCTAGATACCCTTTCCTCTTACTAGATCTTATATATCACCTCCTAGGGACTGTTTATTATTATAGTGGAATAGTAAGATAGGTAGATTCTACTAAGCCTTAATATAATTATAGAAGGTATAGATAGTATTAACACACCTATTCTTCTTTATATATATATAGATAAAATATAACTATATAAGGTTATCTAGAAAGTATATAACCTATTTATAGCTATTATACCCTCTATTAGTAGAATAAGGTTAAAGTAGACCTTCTAGAACAGTTATAGAGTATATCTAATTATTAAATAGCATAAGATCTACTTAGGTATATAAGATAGCTTATAAATCATATAGATACCTCTCTCTGAGGGTAGTAATCTAGTTATATCTATACTAGATACTAGTTCTAGTATAATATATAGGGCCGTATAATTAAGATAACTAAAATACTTATACTACTACTACTTTATATCCTTAAGGCTTCTTAGTATAGCAGATCTAGTATACTTATATTTAATTATAGTAAAGATATAGTTAGCTTCTTTTATTAGAATATAGTTAACTATTATAAGATTATAATAAATCTTTATAGAGTAGAATTCACTACTATCTTTCTCTATGAGCTATAGGAGCCTTATATTAATATAAATATCTGCCTCTCTAGTATATATAAGAGAGATAATATTAGTGTGTATTCTAGAGATATAAGCTATCTAAATAAGAAGTATTAATACTCTTATTCCATCTAATCTAGTGCTATATACCCATCTCTTACCCTATTTCTCTACTAACACCTTTATATTACTAATACTAATGTGGTTACCTAGATTCATGTTATGGACATTAATCATCTAATCTAGGTCATTATAAATATATAGTGTTGATCTAGTATCTATAATAATAGATTTAAATAGGTTAATATTAGAGAATACTATATTTACTAGGTGTAAAGATATAGTATTAGTTATGCTTATAGGGCCTGGAATAATCATCTTAGAGGTTAATATCTTAGGTAAGGAAGGGGTCACTAGTACTAATATAGGTGGTATTCTTAAACCTATTACTATAAATATATAATCTTCTCCTAAGGCCTTAGCACCTCCTAAGGTAGTAGTACTACTTAAGATAGGGAAGGAAGGTATTTTAAATATTAATTTATCTATTCTAAATAATTCTTCTATAAATATATATATCTCTAGTTTCTTAAGGTTCTTTTTAACTCTCTCTATTACCTCTAGATATAGTTTCTAATCTATAGGGTATTTCTCTTTATTAAGATAGTAGTATATCTTAGGCTAATACCTAGGCTAGTTTCTATAGGGTCTACTATATATATATTTCTTAATATCTCTCTTATTAGGATTACCTTACTTATTATCTTATAGGGTAGTAAAGGAGAGGTTATTTATAGATTAGGTAATCTACCTAGTAATTTAATTATTCTAGATCTTCTAGAGAATCTTTATAAAGCCTATCTTTATCTTATTAGCTTCTCTTTATAAGAGAAGTAAATAGTATAGTAGCTAGTTAATCTTCTAGAGTATAAGTAAGAGGTCTTTAGTATCTATACTATCCTTAATAGTAGTTAATCTAACCTCTATAGCTTTAAAGTAGATAGTTTCTAGCTTCCTAAGCTACTCCTAGATTACCTATAGTAACTTATTCTTTAGTACTTATTAAGTAGCTTTATATTTTATATATAGTTCTATCTTTTTAGTACTAGTATCTAAGCTATACTATATTTTTAACTTCTTTAAGATCTTATAAGGCATCTTCTTACTAGCTATCTACTGCAAGATATAGACTAATATAGATTAGTAGATAAGTATAGTAATATATATTATTATAGATATAGTAACCTCTCTCTTCTATAATTTCTCTTTATATTTATCTATTATAAGCTTATATAATTCTTATTTATCTATATTTATTATACTTATCTTAGTTGCAGTCTTCTTTCTATTCTTATCTTTTTTCTATTCTTATCTTTAATATATTCTTTCTACTAAGGCACCTCCTATTCTTCTACTAGCATAGCTATACTATCTAGATTAATATACTCCCAGATATTATGCTCCCAGATATTATGCTATTTAGTAGCTAGTTTAAGATACTAGAGCTATGCATAGTAGTTCTCTCTTAATATTAGTATAAGCACTACCTTATTAATAGTAGTATTATCTTCTATAGTTTATATCTTACTACTAAAAAGCAGCCTCTTAGTATATTCTTACTACTAAGAAGTAGCCTATTAGATTATTCTTTACTACTAAGAAGTAGCCTTAGTAAATTATTAATTACTTACTACTCAGGAGCAATCTCTTAGATTAATCTAATTACATAGTTTCTTCTAATTTAACCTAAGATCTCAGGGAAGGGAGTATATCCCTTAAATCATATGAAAATAATAATATTCTGATATCTCTAGCAGTCCAGGCTCATAACTATCAGATTATACATAATATAATAATATAGTTACACTAGTAATCTAAGCATGTAGAGGTTAAACTAGGACATATTCATGCTATATCTATAAATATATATGAATTTTTATGTAAGGAGCAACAAGACCAGAAGTTATGTACATTCTGGTTAAATAAGACTAACTAGAATAGGCAAGACAAGCAAGCATAAAATATACAATCTGGTACCAAAGATACAGTGCTTCGACAGCAAGTATGAAATGAGACTGGTAACGACATCCGTATTTCAATTTCCACTTTTCAACCTTATGCGTTCTATTATTGACGTGGAACAGCATTAAATTATAGCACAGGCTCAAAAATCCGCAGAGGAGACTCCCGTTCCACCAACCAACGAAACCTCGCATCGCTCCGAAGACGGCCCATATCCTGCCTCCCCAACGTCACACCGACTTCCCAGGCAGGCCGAGGCCCACGACGTGGCTTGATGGTACAAACACCCTCGGGATTCATGTACGGCAGCATCTCAAATTCCACCACCTTGCCGAGAACAGGCCCAAAGTCTTCTTCGTAGACCCGCAGCCGCCGGATACTTGTCACCGCCACATCGGGCTCGTGGACAGAGGTGTTGGCCCAGTCGTTGGCCTTGGCAAACTGGGAGAGATAGTCTCGCACAAAGCGGTCGTCAACGTCGTTGAGCCTCTTCCTCAAAAGGCGGGCGACAGGGGCGATCTGCCGGGCAAAGTCTTCTTCTTCTGTTTTGGGTTGAGATTCGGGCCCCAGCTCTGCGGTAGATAGGGACTCATTCAGCATGACGAAACAGTTTCCTAGGTAGTGAGCGGGCAGTTGCGGGTTCAAGCGGTGGCGAGCGTTGACTACTCGCTGGAGCATACATGCAGAGCCAGACTCCCCTTGGCGCACCGGGTGGAAGCGGAATCGACTCAGACAGGTCCAAAGGACGGCGGTGAGGATGTCATCCTCAGACACAGGGGGTTGCTCCGACTCGGCGCTCGCCTTTTGGATCCATTGACGCAGTCGGTGGACCTTCTCAGCCGATATGAAAAAGTTGTAGTCAAGCAGGGACGCATCATGCACCTCTTCGTGCCCGGTTGACGCGGCAGCCTCGACTGAACCAGTCTGAGCTGGCAGCTTGCCAGGCTCTCGTTCAAGTGTAGCCAGGTATGCTCGCGTAGTAGCCTCGCATGCAGTGTCACTCGGGAGGTAAGGGGCTGCATTACAGCAAGCGGCTAGCGATTCAAGCAGAGTGCCGATCCCAGTCCCATCAATCACCATATGATTAACGAATAGCGCGAAGACGATCCCGTCGGCTAGCACATTGATTTGAAAACGTACGACCGGATGGTGCGTAGGGGATGCGGCAACCTGCACAGGAGCCATAATGAGGCTTGCATTGCGGTCGTACGCCCCAACATTCTTCTGGTGCGATGAATCTGATTCGGATGGCAGTCGAAGATGTGGAAGCTGCTGAACGGTGCAGAGAGGAGTCGGTGTGTGTGACGCCAGTGCATCGCCAGGAGAAGGCTGCACTTCCATCACCCCGACTTTGTCCACCGAGGGCACCACGACCCCCGTCAGAAAGGGGAGATGGGCTGTCAGTCGATCGACCGCCGCACGCAGGATGAAGACTCCGCTCTCGGGACGCGTTAACCGGAAAGAGATTGTACATCCCGCGTAGAACATGGGGAAGCAGTAGTCGGCCGGCGTGAGCTCGAAGCTTTCGAAGTGATTGTGCTTGGTCATTGTGTGCCTCGTGGAAGGTGCAGAATCAGAGTGGCGGAGAGAGAAGACGCTGTGTTGATGGGTTGGGTGCTTTCCAAGTGCTACAAATAAAGCATCTACACGCTCTGGCTCCTCCTTGCCTGGAGGCCTTGATGTATCTACTGCGTGGCGGTCAAGCACGTATCATTTTCTACTTCTAGATCTTGCTGAGTGAATGGGCACGATATACGCGAGTCTAATCACCATACTCATAGCAAAACTCATACGCCTCGGTACTCATCACCTCCCGCAGAGTCCTATTTCCGCCCAGCAACCCCCACGTAACTTGGGTATCCAAATCAACGTCCGGCGTGGTAGGCGCATTCCCAATCGTGCTGGTCCCATTCAACGCATACTGGCGGTTCTCCGGGTCCTGCGCCTGCCACAGCGTCCACACCCGGTCCACCATTGCATGATGCAGCATAAACGCAGGCTCCTGCGGCGCGGTCCAGAAATCGTCCATTGCCCGGCCAAGCTGCATATGCGCTGCGGCATGGGGGCCCATGATCCCCGCCTCACTGAGCTCCGGCCATACACTGACGTCCATGTTGTGTTGCAGGGACACAATGTCCGGCGAGGAGAGGAGGCGATCAACATCCGTCTGGCTTGTAAAGGATTGTGCAATAAACGAGTTTAGGTTACGTGTTAGGCAGCGTGGGGTGTAGGCGAAGGCGTTGTCTGGGAATACGTCGCCTGGGGCGGAATCAAGATCGGGAAGGTTGAGAACCATGCCGGCGAACGGGCCTGTGTTGACGCATCCGCCGCCGGAGCCATTGGGGATGGTGACGTTTGTGGGTGCCAGGGTCATCGTTGGGCTGGGATTCTCGAGGGGATCTCCATCCCCGGAGAACGAGGTGTCGCTGCCGTCGAAGAGTGGACTCGCGGATAGGTTGTTGGCGGAGAGTGCCCAGTTCCAGTATCTGTCATCATCATTATCAACTGATCTTTTTGAAGGAGAAAGGGGAATTACGGTTGGTAGCCCTGGTAACCACATTCCTCCCGCATCGCCTTTTCCCACAACCAGACAAACCGTCGATGCCAGCCAAAGAAGATCCCGCTTAGGTGGATATTGAGTGTGTAGTTGATATGAGTCCTGCCAGTGTCAGGTTTCCTTGTGATGCCCAATTATTGGTCTAGATCCATACGCTGCAAAGTCATCCATTCGATGCCGGACACCAGGGTATTGCTCCGTTGGCAGGATTGGCGGTTTTTCTCGCATACAGTGAACGGCGTTGATATAGTCGAGACGCTCGTCTCTGGAGAGAGAGCCCCTGGTAGACTGTCAGACTGTCATGTAGCCTCTCATGTGATTGCCGTGTTTGAACTGACCATTCTCGACGAATTGCTCGGGTGTCAGGGGTGCATTCCTGACCCCAGGCCACCAGGAGCCACAAGAACCAAAAACATAGCATTTTGACGACAAACGGGAAGGTTATTGTTACAATCCTTGATCTGCACTGGGAAATCGAGAAACAATACCACATTCAAGTCATCATCGGGTATCCCTTGGCTGAGTCTTGTCCACTGTTTAGTTTATATCATATATCTTGGGCATGAAAACATTGACAAGAGTAGCCGCATCCGTCGCTCTCGTCTGGTTTCACTGGAATCGAGGCATTGTCTTTTGTCCCTTGCATGAAACTTAGGAGGATCTACGCTAATGCAGATTGACTATCACACCGTATCTAGGTCTGCATTGCCACAATTTAACCATGGCACAGCGTGACATCCAATCTCCTCGTACATAACAATGCGTCAGGGGAGAAGCTGCAGGTCTTCCTTGGATCCAGTCTGGAAAATCTGGGAGAGATATCTCCTCAGCTCACCAGTCTCCTCTAGCCCTCCAGTCCAACCAATGTACCGGTCCGGACGCACCAGGACGAGCCCACCATCATTCCGGTCCAGCCCAGCCTCGTCATATAGAGACCCCTCGTCGATGTAAATCTTGCTATAGTCCCGGCCGGTAGCTTCATGGGAAGGGAAAAACATAGAAGGAAAATTCGCGAGCTCCACTGCATCCCATTGCGCACAGTGAACGAGTAATGCATCCAGTAGTCCGAAAATAGCCTCTCGCGCTTCTTCCAATTGTTTCGCAAGTTTGTGTATGCGCTTCATCTGGCTGGATAAGGAGACGTTTCCCGCGAAGACAACCATGCACCAGCTCCCATCAGCCTTGAGAGCATTGTGCAGATGGACAGTTCTCCCCGTGGCGTGGTTGGTAATCGCCAACTCCGGGAGGCATTCACCGGGCTCGAAGCAGCCTATTCCTTGCGTCGAGGGCAATGTCAAGAGCGTATCGGCGTAGCGGATCCCACGGCCCGCTAGGAAGATCCGTAACTCATTTGCCCGGGCCAGCAGGGAGGGAGATTCATGGCCGAATTTGGTATCGAATAACTCAAGTGTTGTTCGGTCTGCCTGGAGCAGTTGCCGAGCGACGGGTCCTCGTTCGGTGTCGTAGGTTATGAGGACGTTGGGGTTCAGGTGTCCTTTGATGACGCCGGCGAGCTTCCAGGCGAGATTGTACGAGTCCCTTGCTCTGTTAGTGTTGGTCTTGTTGAGGATTGGCGTCACGTACTGGATACTCGTGTTCATTCCCATTCCGGTGACAGGTGAGTGTGTGTGGACAGCATCGCCGACCAGGAATGCACGCTGGCCTTTGCTCATTGCACTGCTCAGTCGCTGGGTGGCTGTAAATGCAGACCACCTGATGGAGGTCAGCATCGTCCTTGTTTCTCCTGTCCAGAAACTTACCAGACCCAATGGCGGACCTCTAGCTGGATGGAGAAATCACGACCACCGTTAGCAGCCCGGCAACCAAGTCCCTACAAGCGATGGCTCTCACCTGGTATGGTCGAACCATGTACTGGCACTTTTGGATAATGAGCTCCGGGGTAATATCCTCTCTGCGAATGTGTTCTCCTTCTGGCCCCTTATTAAGCTCAACGTACATCCGTACCAGCCCTTCCTCGCGGCGAACAAAATCCACCGATCCGTCAATGTCACTGCGGATGATGGATGTCGCTCCGAAGCTAGTCTGTCTCTCAGTATATAAAACAATCACAAAAGCCCACAGCAAGCACTCACTCGGGAAAATCCGAACTCCCGGCAAAGTCCATGACGCCCCAGATCGACGAGCCTTTGTTACCATGCATCTCAATGCCTAGCAATTGCCTAGCCATGGACTTTCCTCCGTCCGCTCCAATGACGTATCTAGCCCGGATTCTCTCGGTCTGGATGCTCTCTCCATGCTGTTGTTGAAGTAGGACGGTACACGGGTAAGCCCCTGGAGTGTCAAGCTTCGTGGTATCGATATCCAATTCACAAAGAGATGTATGGTATTCAACAGCCACCCCAGAGATGTCCAAGATTCGCTTCTTCATAATCTCCTCCACACTCCCCTGCTGCAGCGTCCCATGTGTCCACCTAGAGCGTCCCTTCAGTAAGCCGTGCTTCATCATGTTGGTTGATACGCACCGAACCCCCGGAGGAGGTTGACTTGGGTACCGATCCGTCCTCGTGAGCTTCTCATCCTGCCCTCGGTACCAGAGCGTTTCATGCGTCGCCGGCTCCCAGAGTTTGGTGACTTGATTGTGGATTCCCCAGCTTTTGAAAATCTCCATGGTCCTCGGGTTGAGGCTGTAGTGACTCGCCTCAATCAGTGATCTCTACTTATGTGCACGCGGGCGAGGTGGATCTCACCCATCTGCCTGTCCTTTCCTGGGCTCATCGGATCGTTTGTCGACGATGCGAAAGTCGATTCCCAATTGCGCCAGCCATAATGCAGCGCCTAATCTGGGTCGATCATCAACGTCACGACAGTGTTGGTAGCATATATATGAATACGAAGCTCTTACCCGGATGGACCCTGTGGCATCCACGCGTTAGCCGTTCATTCACAAACAGAGACTGTTGAATACATACTGCCCCAATGATGAGGACATCGATTACGCTGTTTGATCCGGTCATTTTTCTTAAAGTAGTTGCGCGCTGGGAAGGACTTGATTAGATTGCCGGAGCAAACGAGATTAGAAGTGGAAGAGGGATCAATAGCTCAAGGAAACCCCGTTTACACTATATGTCTCTGCATAAGTATTTCCAAACTGTACATGACAGTGATAGGCAAGCTGGAAGTGGCGGTCAGCGCTGCAGCCTTGTGATCTGTCTTAGTATCATGCAGGAGCAATATTCTGGTCTTGATTCCTGATTTACGGGCTTTGGTTTCTGATGAGTTGTTCTATCTGAAGTCTGCAACTTTTTATGGCCTCACATCAAGCTCATCTGACGACGTTCAATAGATATGTTTCGTCATGTATAATATGTAATATATACGACTGCCATAATAATGAATAGATGGAAGATATTAGGGAGACCGAAGTACTAGCTAGGCTTGATTGAATGAGGAGATATATCCATATTTGCTAAGCAAGGAACAGGCATGGTCTACTGAAACTGAAAGTGCTTTCGGAACCATTCCTCAACCGTCATCAACTTCTGTTCCTCCTTGGGCCGCCCCAGCGCCAATGCAGTCGCCAGCTTGAGTTTACCAGCAGTGTCCTTCTCAGACGGTTCAGGGCCAAAGTATCGTCCCTGGTTGTTCTGCGTGAACCCAAACATCATTTTTGTGTCCTCCAACTCTGGGATCCCGTGGGTATCAAAGTCCTCCCAGGATGGCAGCGGCTGGAAGCGGGATTTCCGTCCGCTCAGTTTCTCAAAACCAGATACAACATCCTCAAAGCTGCAGATATCACTGCAGCCGTGGATGACGTGGCCGTGCCACTGAGCAGGATCAAGGAACATGCCCTGCACAATGTCCCCAAAGTCATCGGACATGCTGATGAAGGGGACGTCCTCCTTCCCGCCCCATTTGGGAGCAACAAAAGTGAGATACCCCTCGGAATCTGGCAGGTGGGGGAAACCACCGAATATGGCTGCAACCTCCTTTGACAGGAAGTTTTCGAGGAACCAGGCAGCGCAGATGAAGCTGGCGGTTTCGAAGCGGTCAACACTACGGGCGTATTGCTCAATCTTGTACTTCACTGTGCGAACCTTAGCCTTATGATATTATGGTCACAGGACGAGGAATACACACTGTCTCCGGCACTCATTTTGACCTTCCCCCCGGTAAGCTTGTGGCTGTCTGGACCAGTGCTGAAGATGAAATGACGCACTCCGGCTTGGGCTGCTGCGTCCACGATCGTCTTGCCCATGTCGAATTCTGTGGGACCATCCGGTTTGAAGGCCTGGAGTGAGAGGACCTTGTGAGCGTGGGCAATCAAATACACATCCGCAGGAAACTCCAGCCATTGACATACCTTATCATCCGAGTTGATATTCACAAAAACTCCCCAGGAGCCACGGAAGGCTTCCAACATGGACTCACTGCTGAAACCATCTGCTTGGTGGATTTGTGCTTCCTGAGCAGCCAGTGCCTGGCTTGCATCCGAACTGGGATTCCGAGTGAGAGCTCGAACCTTGAAGGATGGGTTTCTGAGGAGCGATCTGGCAACGGCTCCGCCTTGGTTGCCAGTGGCGCCGAAGACTGTGATGAGGGGAGTAGAGATGGTCATGATTGTAACTGAAAGAGGATCAGAGTATTGCGCAAGTGCCAGATGGATATGGCTGAGGTCGAGCGAGATTTGTCTGCTCCAGGGATACCTCGAAACAGGGACACGGAAGAATCTCCCGAGTTAAGGAGAACACCGACCACGCGTAAAAATAGCGGTGAGGGTGTGTTTCTGAGTTATCCTGCTGCTTGGGATTCCTATGCCTGAGTGCGGAGCATGATGAGAGTCATTCATGGTGACGAGCTCTGCATATGCAGCCAAGGCTGATTATGCAGTATCCAAGGCATAGTACCCCTGACTCATGGCCCATTTCCTGTGTATCCTATAACAATGACTGATTTGTAGACCCATAGTTCAGCCAGCCATTGTCACAGTGGTGGCAGATCAAAGTGCAATGTGAGGGGAGTTGCTTATGCTCGCTCTTTCTTGGTATGGTCTTTATTCTTTGGCACTTGGTCTATCTTTACCCGAGTACATACATTCCTCTCCGTGTTTGGTCTCTATTTTGATTTATTGTTTATTGCGGTTTACATTCCCAGTGAGCGCAGTGTAACATCTTGAGTGGCAAATGACACCAAGGTACAACCAGTAAGCTTGTGATACCTGGCCATAGCCTGCCATCCTACCGACGCGGCTGTCTAGATCCTGTCAGGACTGTCCTGAGGCCTACTGTTGCCTCATTCTGGTTCTTGATGAACACTGAACTTTGACTACGAGAGCGTCGGGGCGAGCCTAGGGGCTCCTTACGATTAGGTTTTGAATACGATAAAGTTGTTTGCGGCAATCAAACTTAAAAAATTGTCCTGAGGACCATCCTAATGATCTTCATTCGGTTCAAACTGCGGTAGCGTGGGTATGGGCTCCTAATTCGTCTGTCATGCAATATCTCTGTGCAAGGGGCTCACATGCTTTCCAAACACAATGAAGTTTGATCTTCGCCTGCATTGCTCTCATACCTTACATTGTAACATTTTGAGTGACAAATGACACCAAGGTACAACCAGTAAGCTTGTGATACCTGGCCATGGGTCAGGACGGCTATCCACCCTCCACACATTGCAAAGCAAGATGCAAGGGAATCTAGCATCGGAGGTGCGCACTATGTTCAGCAGAAAGGGGGTCAGCTTCACCTCGAGAAGTACCGCCTCTCGTGTGTGGGCCATGGAAGGAACAAAATGAAGCCGTTCAAGGACCATAGCATGCCTCAAGTCAGACAGAAGAAGCTTCGTTCCGTTTCTCATCTTCCTCAATAGAATTCTGCTATTCTCATTCAACATCAGATAATGGGTTCGATTACTCCATCAGTCTCTGAGTATGATGTGGCCGTCTCCCGAGACGAAGGGCTGGGCCAACTCTTCTATCAACGGATGGTCGAGGACCCCTCGGCCGTGGCAATTGTCGATGAACAGGGCCAAAGCCTGACATATGAAGCACTACATGAGAAAGCCATCGAACTGGCGCAGGTCTTAACCCGGGAGGCGTTCAAAGTGGAGGAACGGGTTGGCATTGTCGTTCAGCATGGGCTCTGGGACGCCGTCACACAGGTGGCCATCATCTACGCGGGAGGGACGTGTGTCCCTCTTGATCCTCTCTTGCCCGACCAGCAGATTATCAACCGACTCAAACGGTTGGGCACTAGGTACGTGCTCGTAGACGAGGCCAACAGCAAGCGGAATCTCCCCTTCGCCTTACTTCCTCTCGGCAAGCTTCGACCCGAAGTCAGCAAGTCATTCTGTACACCAGCGGCCCAGTTTCCCGCCCCGACTGGATTGGCACACTGTACACACCTGATTCACACCTCCGGCACGACCAGCGAGCCCAAAGCCGTGCAGATCGCCGCTCGCTCCATCGTCCATGTGGCGCATCACGCTCCCTACGACCCCGTCCGCAAATCTGACGTGGTGGGCCACGGCAATAGCACCAGCTTCGATGTGGCCCTGTTCGATATCTGGACCGCCCTCGTCCGCGGAGCTGCTATTGGCGTGCTCAGCAAGGCAACCCTGCTGGACATCCCCGCCATGGCAGCCGCCATCCGCCAGCTGGGCATCACAATCATGGCCATTACCGCGCCCCTAGTCAATCTGGCGGCAACAACGTGTCCCACGACGTTTCAACCGCTCCGGGTAGTCCTCATGGGCGGCGAAGCGGCCAATCTCCGCGCGATGGAGGCGATTCTCACCGCCGGGCCGCCGGAACATCTCATGAACGCCTACGGGCCCACGGAATGCTGCGTCTACTGTCTCACCCACGAGATCACCATGGAAGACGTGGAGGCGGGCAAAGTGAGCATTGGCAAGCCTATCGGCCGCAATGTCTGCTGCGTGTGTGACGAGGAGGGCCGTCTTGTCGCCGAGGGCGAAGAGGGAGAGTTGCTGGTGGGCGGTCCCGGTGTGTCGCCGGGATATGTCAACCAGCCGGACAAGAACGCAAAGACCTTCATCCAGGTTGCTGGAATGGTTGATCCCCTTACCGGTGAGCTGTACCGGATGTACCGCACGGGGGATATGGTGCGGCTGCGCCGTGACGGACAGCATGACTTCCTGGGCCGCCGGGATCACCAGGTCAAGGTCCGAGGATACCGGGTCGAGCTGGCAGCTGTTGATGCCGCACTGATGAAGACCGGCCACTTCTCTGAGGGGTTTTCCATGCGGATGGATTCGAAGGAGGACGGGGCGGGTTCGACGCTCGTGGCTTTTGTGGTTCTCCAGGCCAACCCCCGGGACGATGCCGTGGTGGATGCGATGAAGACGCTGCGGGCGACATTGCCCGAGTATATGGTGCCACATATTGAGGTCATCCCGGAAATGCCGCTCAACGCGCACGCGAAAGTGGACCGCAGGAAGCTGGAGGAGATGTATCACCAGCGCCGGGAGAAGCATCTCTGCACTCTCCATGGGAACTCAAAGGATATGAGTACGCGCGAGCACCTCACCAGTCTGTGGGCCACCATTCTGGCCACTCCCATCCCTGAATACGCAGACGACGACGACTTTTTCGCCCTCGGCGGCACCTCCCTTCAGGCGTCGTTGCTGATCAGTCGCATCCGGCAGCAGTTGCGCACGGAGCTCTCTCTTCTCACCCTGTACGACCACTCCAGTCTGGGCCAGCTTGCCTCGGTCATTGACCGCCACCGGGGAACAGCCATGGCAACCGTGCGCAATGAGAGCTCCCTCTGGATTGCAGACACAAAGCTGGCGGATGGCCTTCAGCTCCCTCTGGGGCCGGTCATTGACTGGCGCCGGGATACCGAGGGCCGCGTGTTCCTGACGGGCGCCACCGGGTTCGTCGGTGCCTTCCTGCTGGCGGATCTGCTGAAGATGCCCGACGTGCATCAGGTAGGCTGCCTGGTGCGCGCCATTGATACCGCTACTGGCCTAAAGCGCCTGCAGGCCGCCCTCCGCAAATACAATCTCTGGCACGACACTTTCCTGCCCAAGCTGCTCCCTCTCTGCGGCTCGCTAGAGGACTACTGGCTTGGTCTGGGCGAGCAGCGCTTCCACGAGATCGCTAACTGGGCCAGTGTCATCTTCCACCTCGGCGCGCGTGTCAACTACACCCAACCTTACTCCCTACACCGTCCGGCCAACATTCTCGGCACCCTCAACGTCGCCCGGCTGGCAGTCACGGGCCGCCTCAAGGGCCTCCACTACTGCTCCAGCATCTCCTGCTACGGCCCAACGGGGTCCGTCACCGGCGCCAAAATCGTCTACGAAGACGCGCCTCTCCTTCCGCATCTGGACGCCCTCCCCTACGACCACGGCTACGCGCAGAGCCAATGGGCCGCCGATCAACTCCTCCAACGCCTCGTGGGCCGCGGATTCCCCATCGCTGTGTACCGCCCTGGCTTCGTGACAGGCGACCATCGGACGGGGGCTTGCAACCCGGACGATTTCTTCAGCCGGCTGATCCGCGCCAGCCTCGACCTGGGCTCGTACCCGGACCTCCCCAACCAGCGCAAGGAGTTCGTCCCCGTGGACTACCTCGTCACCGCCATGCTGCACATCTCCTCCAGCGTGTTCTCCCTCGGCCATGCCTTTCATCTTCTGCCCCAGCGATCCATGTCAGTCGACATGGGCGAGGTCATGGAGTTGCTGGGTCAGGCGCGCGGCGCCGCGCTGCAACGAGTCAGCTACGGCGAATGGATTGAGCGGCTCTCGGCGAGTGCGCATGCAAGCCTCCAGCCGTTACTTCCCATGCTGGCGGAGAAGGTGCACAAGGGCCTGACTCGATGGGAGCTGTATGAGAATATGCCCACGTACGACGATACCAACACCATGCGGGCGTTGGCGACCTATCCGGGGGTGTTACAGTGTCCGCCTTTTGACTGCGCGTTGATGAAAAAGTATGTTGATTATCTGTCTACTTGTTAGAGCTTGCGTTTGTTACTATCGGTGTTTGTCATCTTGAAACAGGTCCGTTTGGATTGTGTGTTGTGGGTAATACTATCTAGAACTAGATTAATATATTCGAAGACTGCTGGAATACAAGCAAACATACCCGGGAAAATTACTGCAGAGATCTTGAATTATGACCAAAGCCATCCTGAGAGCGTTGATAGTGTCCGGTACATCCAGTTCTGATTTCTAACTCATAGCCCAGCCATTTAGCTACTATCGAGTAGCGGCTAGAAAGCCTGCGTCAGCTCATTGAGCTATTTACCAGGATCTGGCAAGTCTTTCCAGACCGCCAAAACTAGAAGTGATGGAGGAGTGTCGGACTCAGTTTTCGAAGTATATGTGCAAGCTTGTCATGATAAACTGGCGTATTTCCCTGTCCAATAATAGGCCTTGATATGGCTTTATGGATTGGGTATTCCGAAGTGGTGAGTAGGCAATGTCCCGGAGTTTCTGACAATCAGGGTACGTACGCAGTAGCCAACTGATATTCCTGACTTTTTCCTTATTGCCATGTTATAACGCACCAGAGAGCATCTTGGATAACACACCAGCATATCCCAGTAAGCTATTCTTGGTGTTGTGCTTCTCTATTATGGTCTTACTCCACTATGATGCATTATAGGGCACTTTGCCTTGCATATGCAACTACAAGGGTAGTGAGTAGAGCTTTACTTGAGATAATGGTGCAAGTCTTGGTATGCATTAGACTATTGTAAAATGGATGGTGAGCACGAGTAACTGATATTAGTAGAGCTAGGAAAGGCACCTGTCAATCAATTCCCTTTCTACCTCATTCACACTATTAACACCTCACTTAGTGCATAGAGGTGTTGGAATGTAAATTCCACGCACACTTATATTATCAATATGAGCCAGGCATACAGCAGGCCATTCCCTCTCAAATGGCCGCAGAAGCTGACCAGTAATGGAAAGTCTTTCTGCCCAATGCTTAAGAACGCTGGCAATGACGTTATGACTGTCGATATATCCCCTCTGCATGATGCAATACTCTATGAACTAGACAGCTGGTAGCCATGTATGGTGTACATTGATGATGTATTACAATGTTGACCAACTCATCTACTAGCATAATCCTTCCCTTGCTGCAGCATTCAACAGAGAATGCACCTAGGAGTGACTGGATGCATTAGCACCCAAGGTGGCTGAAAGCTGTAAGACATTGAAAGGGACAGCAACTCTGAGTCAGTGGGTCATTTTAATTAACAATGTTAGGATTGCATGGTGTGATCTTACACTTAAAAGCACATTAGAATATGGAATGAAGGTCATCAGTGATGTTTGTGGATTATACCAAAAATAATCCTGGCAAAGGCGAGTTAAAGATAGATAGATAAAGAAGACGACAGCTTAAATTAGCCAGAGTAAACAAGGACAATAAGGAGGTAGCTAGATACTGTCGCCCACTGTGTACCGGTTTTGCTGATCAAAGAACTTCTCTCCTTGTTAGCATGCAGCACAGGGCGAATGACCCATGCATCCGCTATTAAAGCCACCGTTGTTAGCTGCATCTTCAGAAGCAGAGGTTTGCTGAGCATGCATTAGGTTGACCGCTTCATTCGAGCGGTCAGTCTGAGTATGAAATCCTGTAAGTAATAGGCTTCAAGTCATTCGACATCCTTCGGCAACGTTTCCAGCCAAGGGTCCGCCGCGCCTCGGATGAGCTGGAATACTTACAATAGTCATGCATTAGTGCAATTCACTGCATTATGCGACACACCTGCGCTGTCTGAGTGTGGCATTTGAAGGTTGTCGAGGAAGAGAAGACAGCCACCTGGCTCCCTCAACATAACACTGCATGTCAATAGTATCGAGATCGTCACTACTAGCAACCCCACCCCTGAAATACGTACTCTTTTACTGTTATACCCCAGCAGGTCAACTATGCTGATAGGATGTGTCTGTCATTATTCTTATTCAATACGGACGAAAAAACTATCTGTAATACTATCAAAGTACTCCACAATGCAGTTACCATAGGCAAAGAGATGGAAGACATGATAATGCTCTCAGATTGATGAGTTATAAGCATCATGAATAAAAATATACTCACTTGTCAATAGTACACTTACTCTTGTATACCCACTCATATGATATCCCTTACATTCCTGTACTCCCTGGCTTCCACATCTACTGCCTCCACTGTCTCATAAACAGTAGAGGTATGAACCTGGAGCGGTAAGGAGAACACCTATGTGTGCTTATATCATTCCAACTTGATAGACTCTGACTTGGCTGTGAAGCTGAATAGTACCAACACAGAACTCTATCACAGTTCACTTGAGACTACAGTGTAGAACCCATTCCGACCCCATTTCATGATGACAGCTGGCGGATCAAACTCCCCCTACCCACGACCTCAGAGGACTTCCGGGGCTCTGGATAAGTTCAAGTATATTGAGACCAGTCCTGCCCTTGGAAGGGAGTACCCAGAGCTCCAGCTATCTTCCATCATTGACAATGACGAGATAGTTCACGACCTTGCAATCACCGGTACTTCAACCCGTCGTCTTTCCTAATACAAAGCACAAGCTAAGCAAACCTCTATCTAAGCATCTGAGCGCGGAGTTCTCTTCTTCAGTGATCAGGATATCGCCCCTACAGACCTTAAGCGACTCATCCTGAAAATTGGTAAATTGACCGGGAACCCTAAAGAAGCTGGCCTACATCGCCACGCCTCCTCCATCCAGAGCAACAAGGACCTGGGGATTCCTGAGGCTGATGACCCTGACATTCTGGTTATATCGTCCGTGGTGAGTAGACTTTCTTCCAAAGACCAGGTGTCTTAGTTCTGATGTTTCTTCCTCCTAGGCTCAAAAGAAGGACTTGCAAGGTGCCTTGCCAGCAGGTACCCGTAAGTTTGCAAGCTGGGGATGGCACAGTGAGTAAGTGAAGATAAATTTGACCGGCCTTGGCCCTAAAGATCCATGGTAACCGTCAAATTCCCAACCCAGCGAGTCTCATGAGAAGTTTCCTCCTGCGTATACCGGCTTCAAGATAGCCAAAGCCCCACCCACTGGCGGCGACACCCTCTTTGTCTCCTCCTATGGTCTCTACGAACATCTCTCCAAACCGTGGCAGAAGTTCGCGGAGACCCTGACAGGCGAGTCTTTCCTGTTTTGTTCATTAGGCGGAGGCACTTTGAGTTAGAAATGGCTGATTCTAGACCAGCTACTCACCATGCGGCCGAGTATCTTCGACTCAAGGAGAAGGGAATGCCATTTAATGGGGATATCCAGCGAGGCCACCCAGAGAATGTCGGTCTTGATTTCACCGCATCACAGTCTGTTCTATTTCCTTCTTCCCCAAACCCGCATTGCGTTATGTGGGCTTGGAACTGACTAATTTGCAGCCCTGTTGTTCGGACAAATCCGGTTACAGACTGGAAAGGCCTCTTTGGTGTGGGTTGGGGGTTGGTGGATGGTCGTTTTGATGACATGACGGAGCACGAAAGCAACCTGCTCAAGGAGTATTGTATGCCAACAGTCTACATGCTTTATTAATGATCATTGAACATAAACTGACATCAGAACAGTCCTTCGCATGATTACCGACAGCTCTGACCTCCAGATTCGTAGACACTGGAACGACAACGGGGTTGCAATCTGGGATAAGTAAGTGGGAGCTCAATTATACGTGATAAACAAACTAATTCGAAACCAATCTTGTTATAGCCGCGCCGTGCATCACAATCCAACGTAGTAAGTTCAACTTCTATCCGCGAATTCGAAGAAGTTCGACTAAAACAAGGCTTAGTGACGTTGTCGAGGGAGAAAGAACGACCTTTCGTATTGCTGGAATTGGAGAGAAACCCTATCTCGACCCAAACTCTACTTCAAGGGCCGAGTTCCTTCAGAAGAAGTGAACTTGCCATACCGTCCGGCAATCGGACCGGCGTGCAGCGCTAAGACTCTGATCGACACCCCGTGTAGGACGTCTCCACGGATTACTGGACTGGGACAGCGTTACTGGATGGTCATACGGCTATGGATGAATGTATTAGAATCAGTCTTTTGGGTTTAACTGTCAGACTTTGGATGTTCTGTCTTTTCACGCTTGTTTATTATAGTCATAGGAAGAGGAAAGAGTTGCCACCCATCTATCAGAAGCTCATTCGCATCTCTTTGGCAACTCTGTGCCAGAAGTGTCTATACAAGTCAGTCTTTACTACATAGAATGATTCTTAGAGCCCGGTCAGCTAATGTATTAGGCCTAATTCACTACTTCTTCCTGACCTCTCGCTATTACGCTAAATCATTGATCGTTCTGCATAGGTCTATAGAAAGCCGAGTTTGTAGCCTGTTCCCGGGAGGATGCTTCCGTGTGTATAGGAGATGCCAGAATTTAGTCATACGCTAAGCACGCACCAACTTATTTCCCTGATTTGTGCAATATATAAAATACCGCAGACGCACGGGAGACGAATTAGGGAAAATGGGAGGACTGTGCTTTGTGCAACCTTAGAGGGAATGTGTAATTAGCACATACAGAATAGTGGTTATTGTGGTATGAGATATACTATGTACCGCTACTCTGGAGGCTGGTGTCCTATTTGTTTCTTATTGCATATTTGCCGGTAAAATCTCTAGTTATTTCTGAGTGTGCCTGCAGTTACAAAATCAAGTGGAGGTGACTGCTTATCTCCAGCAGAGTGTTTCGATTTCTTTAAATCAAGGAAACCCCTAGGAATCTCTATCACGCCTCTAACCTCGTGTCAAGCCACCCGATACTCTGAATCCCTCCATACACCTCAATCAACTATACTTTAGTTCACTTTACAATAAGAAATTAGTCTGGCATCCTCTGCTCGCGAAATGACTCGAGCTATCCCCTTTGAGCCATATCAGCTCACTCCCTTCGATCATCTCTTCTCCGTCTTCTACGGCGGATGTGCGCTGTCATTTCGCGTCTCTTGCCCTGACGATGCTGTTCCAACGTTGTGCGCCGGCTTGGACCGTCTTGTCTCTCATCTGCCCTTTCTCACTGGACAAGTCATTCAGAAAGGGAAGAGAATGGAAGTTCATTCTCTCCCTCCGACCACCCGCGGCAGTTCACCGCCACTTTATGTCGTTCGACATTTCCCGAACCTTCGTCTCCCCTCCAAACCCAAATGTCGCAGTCAATTCTGTGGAGATTATATCCGCGACGAGTCACTCATTCTAGCCCCCCGTGGGCTTTGCTCTCTTGCCGGTACCCCGATCGTAAGGTTCCAGATCAATGTTCTCGCGGATGGGATCATACTGGTCCTCTGGGTCAACCATATGGCGATCGATGGCACTGGCGTTGGCAAAATGATTGAGGCTCTGTCTATATGCTGCCAGGCGGAAGTAAATCCCGGAACGGCTCGTCAACTGCCAACTGCTCCTGCTGCAGAGGCAGCTACGAGGGCTATTCTGGCGGATTTCTGGACGAGCCCGTCGAGTACCATCACGGAAACAGAGACAGAAACTGATGGTCCTCCCGCTCTCGGCGAGGACGAACACCATGACTCTTCGCTCGTTGATGTCGACTTCTGTTTTTCAGCCTCCAAGGTTCAACGGTTGAGGGACTGCGTGCGGGGCTTGTTGCGTGATAATAAAGGCGGCGGTCAAACGATCCTGGACATCTCATGCGATGATATTGTCACTGCGTTTCTCTGGATATCCTTGAGTCGTGTCCGACGACGCAGCCTGAAAGATGGTCAAAATACCATCACTTCAAACCTTACCAGGGCTGTGGATGTCCGCAAACGGCTCAACAACCCTGTTCCAGACACCTACCTGGGGAACTGTGTTGTGCTCCCAAAGGAGACTCTCCCTCTCGAAGAGCTCGACTGGAGGAATCCTGGTCCGGACAATGATGACCAACATTTGTGCAGACTTCTTGCTCCTCTGCTTAGCCAGGTGGCAGGTATTCTACGGGCACGACTTCACACCGTCAACGACCAGTACATCCGTGGGACCTTCTCACCTTCGAGTCATTCCGATTCTGGCCCCGGTCCTCATGTTTTTGTGAGCAGCATCCGTCATATGAAGGTCTACGAGCATGACTTCGGCCCGTTCCTTGGACATCCAGAAGGGATTGATTTGCTACCGTACATGCGCCCCGATGCCGTTTGCACCATTAAGCCAAAACGCGCCGATGGGGATTGGGATATCGGTGTGACCTTGAACCGGGAGGATATAACGCTCCTCACTGCGGATCCCTGGTTTGGCTGGATCTCGGAAAAAGCGTCGCCTTTCAGGGTCTTTGAATCTGTTTGATCTATTCTTTCCCATGACAGGGGATGCCATTGTCTTTGTCCCGATTGCCCTTCGAGACAGGCCACGATATAGGAGACTACAACGCCTAAATTATAATTATCTAGGCTCGAGTCTAAGTCAATTACAGATACCTAGTTTTTAGTGAGCCTTGATTGCACGGACTCGTCATCTGAGAAGCAGGGCGGCGGCTCTTCTTGGGAGATTCCTTCTGGGCCCTTGTGCAACAAGTTCAACAGCTTTTGAAACAGGCCTTCCCAACGTGCCTGGGTCGGCCGTCGGATACTCAGCTCACGCTCCTCTTTCCGTTGCGTATTTCCCCTCCACATTTCTCTGTAGGCGTCCTCAATCTGTAGCCTGTCTTCATGCTGGTAATATCTCTCACTATCAAAATCAGCTTTCAAGGATGACGAGTCAGTCTGCCGCACGCAAGAGCTCCCCATTCAACAGGCGTCAGTGTCGGTGACTAATACTTTGGGGAAGTAACTTGGGGGCGAAGAGGAGGATTTTCGGCCGGACAACGTTCTACGATCTCTCTGTGAGTCTATCCCACAGGCCACTCCACGCCTAGACCCTTGGCTCCCACCCAATTGCATCATTCTTGACGATCTCGGGCACCGCACCGCTTGGCCTCCGCCGGCCTTTCCTCCCTCACTGGCTGTTCCGGTCTCGGCGCCAAGTATGCCGAGGTCTGCTCATGCTGATCCTCCCACTTCCTCAATTGTCTCTGTGGTCCAACAGACCTCCCGTTCTATTTCCTCGTGGCTATTGTTGACCAGCGAGGTTAAAAGGTAGTTCCGTTGGCATCGCGCCATGTCCTCCAGCCATGGCTCTGCTGACCAAAGCCGCTTCAGCGTCGCATCCACGAGGTGACATGGGGTCAATCATCGTCATTGTGTCCCTGCTCCTTTTGCCTTGGCTCTGCCTGTCTCGCATGAGGTGCCGCCTCAACCCCACGCCAAAGATCCTGCTAGTCAGCCATCTACGCCATCCGCTCTTTGTTCTGACCCCGCTAGTCTTGGCTGAGACGCTTGCGGTCAGTGAGTCTGGAGATGTGTCTAGTAGATACTGGAGACTGAGTCAGAGACGGGGAAGCCGCACATCGAGCGGGAGATTGTAATAGCCCGAGGGGCTGTTTATCCGGCGAATATCCTTGTTTGCAGAGGGGCGTCTAAGGCGTTCAAAAGCATAAAAGGCGACCCCCACTTCCCCCGTCTCTTCTCCAGATTTTCTCTCCTCTGATCTCCTCGTTTGTTCGCTGGCCGATATTCTGTGAAGCATACCCACTTCGTCCAGAACTTCTGCTGCCTGTCTGCCATCATGGGGGAGAAGACTTCCGACCCTGAGGCTCCAACTCTCTCCCACCATGGGTCTTCTATATCTATCGAGAAGCAAGAGGGAGATGCGGCTACTGCTCGGGCGTGGGCTCGCGATATGGACAAAAGTACCACGACCAGCACTAAACTCAAGAATCCTCTTGCAGGGTTGAGTCGAGAACAGCTTCTAAGTGACGTCGAGGCTTTCGCGAAGGAGAAAAACCTTGAGCATATTCTCGATGATCTCCGAAAGGGTGCTCTCGTCGCGCAAGATCCAAGAGCGTTTGAGCAGATGGACGAGTTGGTGGAGAGCGAGAAAGAACTACTTCGACGAGAGAAGACGCATCGGTGGAGCCAGCCATTTATGATGTATTTCATGACGAGTATGCTTTCCTCGCGATCCTCCTGTTGCATTGAAATCAACTCACCACGTCAGTCCTCTGTGCTGGATCTGCTATCGTGCAGGGAATGGATCAGACTGCCGTCAACGGTGCACAGGAGTACGTACTCTTGCATTCCCCATCTGAGCTATGCTAAGCAGAGCAGGTTCTACTTTGCGGAATTTAATGTCACCGACAGTTGGCTCCAAGGCCTCCTGAACGGCGCCCCCTATCTCTGCTCTGCCGTCATCGGATGCTGGACGACAGCACCTCTGAATCGCTGGTTTGGTCGCCGCGGATGCATCTTTATCTCCTGCTTTATCTCCTTTGCCTCCTCGTTCTGGATGGCAGCCGCGCATACCTGGTGGAATTTGCTGCTCGGCCGTTTTCTTCTGGGGTTTGCGGTGGGCGCCAAATCCACCACCACCCCGGTGTATGGCGCCGAGTGCTCCCCGGCGAATATCCGCGGTGCTCTGGTTATGATGTGGCAGATGTGGACGGCGTTTGGCATTATGCTGGGGTATATTGCCTCTGTTGCGTTTATGGATGTGTCGCATCCCACGATCCCGGGGTTCAACTGGCGATTGATGCTAGGGTCGACGGCCATTCCGTAAGTATGCCATTCGATTGCATATGCATGTGCTGACGATCTTGCATTCAGTCCCTTCTTTGTCTGCATGCAGGTCTACTTTTGTCCTGAGTCGCCTAGGTGGTACATGATGCGCAACCGCTACGAGGATGCGTACAAGGCACTCTGCAAATTCCGCCCGTCCTCGTTCCAAGCCGCGAGGGACCTGTACTATATCCATGCTGCCTTGCAGGTGGAGGAGAAGCTCCGCGAGGGCAAGAATCTGTTCCGCGAGATGTTCACCATCCCGCGGAACCGCCGTGCGGCGCAGTCGTCTTTCTTCGTCATGTTCATGCAGCAGGCAGGTCAACATTCTTCTCACCCCATCATCAAGCTCTAACTGGCGTAGTTCTGCGGTGTCAATGCCATCATGTACTATTCCTCGTCGATGTTCCGCGAGGCCGGTTTCGACACGCGTATGGCCCTCGTCACTTCTCTCGGATGCGGCATCACCAACTGGATCTTCGCCCTGCCAGCCGTATACACGATCGACACCTTTGGCCGACGGAATCTGCTGCTGACCACATTCCCGCTGATGTGTTTATTCCTGCTCTTCACCGGCTTCTCGTTCTACATACCCGATCAAACCCCTCGGACAGCCTGCGTGGCGACTGGGATATACCTGTTCATGATCGTCTACTCGCCCGGCGAAGGGCCGGTGCCATTCACCTACTCTGCCGAAGCTTTTGTACGTCTCGTCTCCCTTCTCAATCAAAGTGCAGTATGTACTGATAATGCCAGCCCCTCTACATCCGAGACATCGGCATGTCCTTCGCAACGGCCACAACGTGGGGTTTCAACTTCATCGTCTCGCTGACCTGGCCGTCGCTCAACAAATCGTTCACCCCCACCGGCGCATTTGGCTGGTACGCGGCGTGGAACTTCTTCGGCTGGATCTTCTGTTATTTCTGTCTGCCGGAGACCAAGGCTCTGTCGCTTGAGGAGCTGGATCAGGTCTTTTCGGTTCCGACGACTAAGCATATCAATCACTACTGTGCGATGCTGCCGTGGTATGTTAAGAAGTATTTGCTTAGGAAAGATGTGCCTCCGCAGAGGCAGCTATACGATTATTATTAGGGATGTCGGAGGTTGGATTGGGAAGGCGAAGTATATTTTCTCGACAATCTTGTGCTGTTGCCCTTCAGTTTAGTTCCTGGCCATATCTGTCCCATTGTTTGAGTCTGGTGTTCAATACTTGAGATGACCGTTCTATAACCACCTCGTAGCGATAGTTCCCTCCGTTATTCTTGCAATTGATGGCAGTCGTCCCTGATTTCCCTATGAGGAAAACACATGGCAGAGGAAGATCGACAGCGGGAATGATTCTCATTGGCTGTCCAGCAGCAGCCAGGTTCCACTTTCAGCTAGAAATCTCTGTTCAGCCAATCAGACTGTTTATATCCGCTCGTTTACTTCCTGTGATTGGTCGGCAATTTCAAGAATGGATCAATTGTCCTCGCTGGGATCTGAGATCTCTCGGCATTAGGTAACATATACCAATATCAACGGCTGTCGCGAGGAATGGTTATGGAGCTCCGAACTGGGCCCCAGACCGAGGTGTTGGCCGTTGACTCATCGCGATGCTGTCCCAGTTTTGTTTCGCTGTTGGAAGTCCGGAGCGTGCAGCTTGACCCTGTCCGTATCAAGTGTTGTTGGTGACACTATCTGGGACGACGGCGAACATCCAGGCCTTGCCTTGACACCTGTTTCGTGATTGCATTGCATTGTATGAGTGAGATCGTAGGATTTCGACAGTGAAAAATCTGCATTCAGCTCCACTCGTCCGGGAGCCGCTCGACCAGGCCCTTCAACTGATATGGACACGGATCGTGTACATGCCGAGCCCGCCTCAGACGGCGAGCGTGACTATGAGAAGCAGGACTCGAAACCAGAGTATCAGGATGCGTTCGGGGACGAGGAGTATGCCGAGGTGAAGTACAAGACCTTGAGTTGGTGGTGAGTTTGTCGTCATGAACTAGCTGGACTGCTGCTGACCCGCGTAGGCAATGTGGTTTTCGTGAGTATGCCGTCATGACTGAGAGAACATAGCTGATTGAGAGCAGTCATGGTTGCAGAGACGGTGTCGCTGGGTATCCTCTCCCTGCCGGCGGTGGTGGCTGCCTTGGGCCTCGTTCCGTGAGTCCATCCATTGCCTACGAAGACCATTCTAACGAGTATAGAGCCGTCATTCTCCTCGTGGCGCTTGGTCTGATGTCCACCTACACCGGCTACACTATTGGCCAGTTCAAATGGCGTTATCCTCACGTCCACAGCAGTGCAGATGCGGGCGAAGTCATCCTGGGCAGTTTTGGCCGGGAGCTCTTCGGAACAGGCCAATTGCTCCTCGTTGTCTTCATCATGGCGAGCCATATTCTGACTTTTACCGTCGCCATGAACTCGATTACCGATCATGGGACGTGCTCGATCGTCTTTGGAGTGGTTGCCTTGGTCATTTCGTTTGTGCTGTGTTTGCCGCGGACGCTGGCCAAGGTCTCGTTTCTCTCCGTGGCTTGTGCGTATGTCTCTTGACGAGATAGAATGTCACTGACAGTTGGTAGCATTCATCAGCGTCTTTTCGGCTGTTCTGATCGTCATGATTGCCGTTGGTATCCAACGTCCATGGCACGGCGGAGTCAATGCCACCGTTGATACCAGTTTATACGAGGCTTTTCTTGCGGTCTGCAATATCGTCTTCTCATTCTGTATGGCTTTTTTTCTCCTTCTCTGTCTCAGTAATGGATGGTCACTGACGAAACAGCCGGCCACGTCGCCTTCTTCGGCTTCATGGCCGAACTGAAAAACCCCCGCGACTACCCCAAGTCGCTCTTCCTGCTACAAGGTATCGACACATGCTTGTATATTGTCGCCTCTGTGGTGATCTACTGCTACGCCGGGGACGATGTTACATCCCCTGCGCTTGGCTCGGCCAGTCCGATCGTGAAGAAGGTGGCTTACGGAATCGCCTTGCCGACGGTAAGTATTTTGGACGCCCTCGCAGGATCCAGCTGATGATGAGTAGATCATCATCGGAGGCGTGGTGAACGGCCACGTCGCATGCAAGTACATCTACGTGCGAATGTGGCGCCACAGCGACCGAATGCACAAGCGAGATCTTGTTGCGACAGGTTCATGGGTGCTGATTGGGCTGGCGACTTGGATCGTTGCGTGGATTATTGCCGAGGCTATCCCGGTGTTCAACAATCTGTTGAGTCTGGTGGTAGGTGTCCTTGCTGGGTCGTTTGGGGTCAAGCTGATGATGATGATGCAGGCGTCGCTTTTTGCCAGCTGGTTTACCTGTAAGTTTCTTTCCATCGATGTGGATGTCTGGCTGACGATTGCAGACGGATTCAGCGCCCTTTTCTGGCTGTATCTCAACAAGGGCCGTTTCTTCTCGACTCCGATGAAGACTGCGCTGACTATCCTCAACGTTTTCATCATGGGCATCGCATGCTGCATTGTAAGTCCCTGCTGGACGTTCCACGAAACAATCGCTGATTATCTTGACAGTGTGGTCTGGGGCTTTATGTCTCGGGCAAGGCCCTGCACGACGACCCCAGTAGTGCCAGTTTCTCGTGTGCGAATAACGCCTAACGCTGTAGATAGTTTTTCAGAGGGTCACGATCTCAAGTGGCTACATGTACAGTAAAGATAGTGTATCATAATTACTCCGCGGTTTCCTCTTCTACGCGATTCCCTACTGGACCTACGGGGCCTACGGTGCCAGCAGGATCAACCGGGCCGGATTGAGGTGCTGCAGTCGGAGTTTGCCCTCCCATTGTAGGCTGGACCACTATCAAGGCCCTCTGGAACGGGGGCCGTACCCGATCCATGGCCTGGTCCAGTGACTCCCGCCGCAGCACCCGCGTCCGCTCATCCAGCTCCCGGGTCCAACTATCTATCGCTTGGTCCCGCGCCTGCGCAGGCCACTGGGCCGTCAACGTCTCCAGCTCATGGTATTTCCGATGCAAGTTATCCAGGACCTCGCGGATCCGCTCCCCCCGCAACGCCGCCGCCCTAGCCTCCCGCTCATCCATCGCCGTTTCCGGCCTCTGGCGCTCCGGCGGCATCGACCGTCGCCGCGACTGCATCGCATTGCGGATATCTTTCAGTTTCAACCCGCTCCCACCAGCCGCCAGCAGGGTCTCCGCGTTCCCGTTCCCTTTGCTCTTCAAGATCTGCGCAATCTCACTCGGCTTGTACCCCTTGCTCACCTCTTTGGCTGCCAGCTCCCGCACCCCCGAGGTCACCTTGTACTCCAGCGCGGAGTACTCGTGGTTGTGTCCGCCCGCGAGACGGGAAAACGTAATCATGGCACCCTCGGTGACCGCTTTCACGCGGCAGGGACACCCGACCGCCTCGCGGATCGTCCGCTTGCGCTTGCGCTCCTCGGGCGCGACCCGCGACTGATGGGCTGTTTTCCGCCAGAGTCGGCACCAGTAGTATTCGGTAATACGGGTTTCCGTGCGGCGGGTCTGGTTCTTCACGTACATGTTGTCGAGGAAGCGCCAGGAGGCGTGGAATTCGGAGAGGGTCATGGTCAGCGGCGCGTCGAGGGCGAAGAATTGTGCGCGGAGCTTTTGGATGTTGAAGGGGAGGTCGAGGAGGCTTGAGTTTGGAGGCGGACCCGCGTCGAGGCCGTCGGAAGCCATCTTGCGTAGTTCGTCCTGCAGTGCAGGGTTGTCGTCGGTTCGTGGCACTGTTGATCGCGATGATTTCCATGAGGCTCAAGTTGTGCCTGATTGGGCCTAGCCATCACGTGGACTGTCGTTGTTAATGCCAGTTTTTTCAGGCATGACCAAAGCATGATGAACGGAGTCGGATCATGCACCTTGATCTCTCTGACCAGTGGTATTGCTCCATAGAACAATCAATGGACCCTTCTTCCATCTTCAGTCAGTGTGCCCGAGTGGTTAAGGGGAGTGATTAGAAATCACTTGGCTTCGGCCGCATAGGTTCGAGTCCTATCGCTGACGGATATTTTTTTTCCCTTTTCTTTTTAATGCACCTCGTTCATGAGCGAGTCGTTCTTGCTACTCGGCTGCTGTAAAGATGAAGACGGATCCTCATACGAATGTGGCTACAGATCTTCATTGTTGGCGATGTCTCCATCAGTCCGTTCTCAAGAAGCCGATCGATCGGCTTTGGGCTGCCAACCAACCGAGGAATGACAGTCGGGTGACAAGGGAAATGGCATTCTCCTTCTGTGCAGCGTTTGATTGTCTCTTACCTGTCACATCCCTCAGTTATTTCCCGGGCTGACCTCCTTTTCTGTTATGTTCGTGCAACAGGGGTACATTTTGCCATGATGTCCTCGGTCGTCGCATAATTCCATCGAGATATATAGTGGCCATTCGGATGCTTGATGAGGAGGAATCGAGGTGCACAATCTATGCGGGATCCCTCGTGCAACTACTGGCGGGGGAGAAATCATGGTCGCTACAACTTCCTTTGCTGAGTTGGGGAAATCCGGCGTCACGCGAGGAACATATTTCACCATGCTTCTCGTCGACCGCTGTCTTTATGAATTTGTCAAGCTACATGGTACGTCTCCGTCTTGAGAACTGAAGTGTAGGTTCTCCGAGACCGTAAATAGCTTTCAATGAACCGGAAGACGGATACTGTCAAAGATATATTAACTACCATGCAAGAGAAAGACAACCCCCGAAATTCGAGTCAACCCTACTGCTGATACACATCCGGAAGCCATTCCCGAACTTCGTCACCAAACTCTCTTTCGTTCTGCTCGTTCCATCGTCTCCGCCTCGCCGCACGGCCAACGTACCGAGTCTCCTGCGGATCCTTTGCAGCCAATCTTCTCGCGACTTCATTGGCCTCGAACAAAGTGACCAATCTCCGCTTGGCATTGGGTCCTTCCAAAGTCTCAGCCTTGTCACGGCAGAAGTCGTAGATCTTCCGTTTCATCGTTGGGGCTTCGTCGTCCTTCTCGACAAAGGACTCGGGCCGACGTTGCACAAGGCTGTCTCCATACTGATTGCTGGCGTAGATGTACCTGTGTCGATGCTGCGATCCGGGAGGGTTGGATGTAACCTCAGTGACCCACGCGGCCTCGGCGAGTTCAGCAGGCGTAGATCCAGAGGCGTTCTCGCGGTGGAGGAGATCCGGACGGCGTTCGAGCAAGATCTCCAGTGTCTGAAGGAGCTGGCACCGCACGGCATCGTGCACAACGGTGTTGCCAGCCCCGTCCAACAGCTCGAGATGCTTCTGCCCGGTACTTTCGGCAAAGTTCAAGATCGTCCAAAGGGCTTTCATTTGGTTCTCGCCTTCGCGGTTGTTTCCATTGTAGTAGACGGAGTAGGTATTCGCGGTGCTCAAGGCCCGCACCATCCACATTGCCAAGGGTGTCAGCGAGCCGGGACCATATGACGAACGCTCTGTGAGCAGGGAGCAAATCAACGACGGATCAACCAGTTCGAGCATTTTCTGGAGGTCATTCAGCTTTTCGTCCGAGGGGGAGGTGACACCGCAGAACAGAAGATGAAGGATGTTGCTGCCTTTCTTATCGCGCACGGTCTGGTCGGCCCCAGCTTCGATCAGGATTTTGGCATAAGTAGGACGCAGAAGCGAGAATGCAATCATCAAGGGGGTGTATCCGTCCACGGACTTGACCTCAAGACAGTGAGGGAGATGCTGAACCAAGTACTTGACCAGTCGTTCCGACTCGACCGTTGGCTTTGCGAAAAGGGCACAATGGAGGACAAGATCACCTATTGGCAGTTAGCATCACTGGTAACAACACCGCCACCACACCATGAAGGGAACCTACGTCTGCAATTCAAACTGTTTGTAATGGAACGCTCGACACCCAGCTTTCCCATCGCGAGCCTCTTGATGCGCTTATCGTGCTTGTGTGCCTCAGCAAACTCAAGATAGTAACGGCCCGGTGCAGTTCCCAAGAACCACTCCACTGCTTCGAGGTTTCCTTGCCGGGCAGCAACCAGGAGGGGAGGTTGCTCCTCCTCAGGCTTCACGGGAAGGATGCCGCGACCTGCAGCCGCCCAATCCGCTCGCTTCTTGCCGTGAATCGACAGTCCCTGGTAGTATTTGGGCTTGTCCTTGATCTCCACTCCGCTCTGCTCCGCCAGCTTGTCCAATTGAATGCCAGCCCCAGTACGTTTGATGAGTTCTGCCAGGCAACCGAGTCGCCCCAGCTGCATTGCCATGGTAAGATCCCACTTTCCCACCGTGAAGATAGTCTGCTCGGAGCTTCCGGACTTCGCAGACAGCTCCCGGCCGAGGTCCAGTAGGAAGACCAGAAGCTCAACATCATCCTTCCAGATTGCGTACTGGACAAGATTGAGAGGCTTTTGCCCATCCGGTAGGGATGTCCCTGTAAAACCTTCCACCGGACAACTGTCCTTCAAGAGAGAAAGAGGCGAGACCTTGCTCTCGACCTGCGTCTTGACCTCGCCAATGTTGTCGATAGTGAATTCTTCATCCAGGATCTGCCTCTCGATATCGAGCTCGTCACTATCGTCCTCTCTCTCGTCGCAGGAAGAATCATCGTCATTGTTGACTGTGGTTCGCAGCCTATACCGCGCATTTTCTTGCTGGTCCTGAGGCTTGTACTGCACTTGAGCAATAGCGATAATCGCCTTCGCCACATCCAAATGTCCACGAAGGACGGCGATGCTGAACGGGTCGAAGTTTCTCTGGTCTTTCGTTGCAATCTCCAGCGGCGGTCTGTGCTTGTCTGGACCCCACGTCCCGAGGGTGAGTGATCTGATCGTCTCGAGATCACCACGCCACGCTGCCTCAAACCTAAACACAGTCAGCACAAGCGAACACTGCAGCACACAGAAGGAATCGATTGAGCACTTACAATTGGATATAACCCTCCCGGGTGATGTCGTTGAGATCCGGTCTCCTGAAGTCAAAGGTCACCTTGAATGGACCAGGCTTGATGACGGCGGATGGGTAATTATTCCGTCGGTTATCGGAAGACATTTCAATGTCTGGAAACAGCTCCTTGAACGCCTTGGCCCCCCTGGCAAGTAACTCCTTCTCGAGCTTCTCAAACTCACTGAGAGCCAGTTGCACGGCCGCCTTCTTCTCCTCGACCCCCTTGCGGTTCGCTGCACTCTTCACGTCGTTGTCGTAGAGTTTCTGCTCTGATTCATCACGGGAGTGCGCACTGCGGAGAGCGGCCTTTGCCGTCCACAGCCGGTATGTATCTACTTTGAAGGGCGCAAGATAGTAGCTGTCCTCGTGCTCCAAGGGTTTGGGCGGCAACAGGGTGTGAGTCTCGGGCTTGTACGCACGCAGAGCCTTCAGCTTTCCCCGCACACAGTCCAGCAGTGATTCGCCGTGCTGGTAGGTTCTCGCGTGGGAGTCATGCTGCAGCCTGTACCCTTGTGTAGTCAGTGTATTGGGATCTGCGCCTCGGGCCAGAAGCTCCAGGGCCACGGATGGCTGTTCTTTGATGACACTCAATAAAATAGGCTGGGTCACGCCGGCATCGAAGTTTCTCTTCACTTGATCGGAGGTGTCGTTCCGTATTCCATCGATGTGCACCTGTGCTGACTTGATGAATTCGTCAAAGGCGATAGTTGGGCTCGCATGTGCTTCCAGCAACTTCAAGGCTCCGACGACATTCCCCGATTTGATGGCGGTTGTCAGCGCAGACTCGGCATTGGGGTTGAATCGCCAACCACTAGTGGCGATGTAGTTGATCGTCCGTTCGACTGCGGGACGGTCATGCTGCAGGTACGTGTCCAGCAACTCAGTGTATTTCGGAGAAGCCGCAATGTGTGCCACGGCCGTCTTCTGATCAAGGTCTGCCTGTGCAGGCGAGGCGCCCAGTTGCAGCAGCTTCGTCGTCATCGCCTTCGCTTGCTCGATTGGCAGTTGAAGAGCCAAGACCAGCGTGATGATGGCAGCTCGCGGGCTGTTGTTATACTCGTGCAGCAATTTGACCGGCAGAAGCACATCGGCGCCGAAAGAGGATACCAGTTCCTCAACAGCAGCGACGTGGCCGTTCACGATCGCAAGATGCAGCGGGGAGGCATGACTGTCCCAAGCGATCACATTGATGTCGTAGACGTCAGGGTCCTGGTCGTTCGAATCATCGGGCACCGATCCCCGTGCAGTATCCTGCGCATCCTTGACTTTGACGAAAGAACCGGTGGCAAAAGACTGAGCATCGGCCTCGCTCTCCTCGGAATGACGGCTGATGAGCTCGGCATCTTCCTCCACGTGGCGCCCGCCATCCTTGGCCTCTTCCTTGGCCTCTTCCTTGGATGAGGCTTCCTTGCGAGCCTGCTCTTTGCGAGCTTCCTCCTCCTCATTTTCCTCGCTCTTCGTCAGCAAGATCCTGATCATCTTGACATGGCCGCGAGCCGCGGCGAGATGTAAGGCCGTTCGCCCGTCCGCCAGTCGGGCGATCAAACGAGCTCCGTGGTCCACGAGACACCGAACGATTTCGGGGGTGGAGGTCATGACCGCCAGATGCAGCGGAGTGCGACCGGTAAAATCGCGACGGTTCACGTCCAAGTCGTGTGACAGCCACTGCTTCACGCCTTCCAAGTCATCGTCGACGATCGCTTGACACAGGCCTGCTGTGTTTCCGACGTATGCCATTTCTGTCCAAGTTAGCAACCTCGGACCCCGTAAAACCAGAGAGCACTGACCGGTCCAATCGGTTTCGGTGATAGGGTGGAAACTGCCAATCTCCTGGCGGCCGGGGTTGTCCTGGAGGAACTTGATTCTGCCCGAAACATAGATCTTGCTCTCCTCCGCGGCCAATTCCTTCTCCTCGGAAGTGACGGGGACAGGACAAAAGCCACAGCAATCCTCGATCACATCTTCAACGTTGCCGAAGAAAGCTGGATGCCGATGAAGGTGGACGTCGCGGTCTTTGGGTTTGTTCCATTCCGCATTGAGAAGCAAATCCTTGGTGTAGAGCAGCTTCTCGATCTTCCGAGCGTGGAATTTTTCGCCATAAGGAATGGTCTAGCTGCGATTAGCATTCGGCCGGCCGTCCAACAAGGCATTGCTCACAAAGGTATGGTAGTCGGACACATCCTCCTCATCCACCCATTCAGGCACTTCGTCATCCCAGTCATTCTTGATGTTTCCTCGGAGCTGCTTTGAGATCCGCATGGGAACCGGTCGACCTCGCTCTCTACGCCGCTTGTCGATGTATGCATCCCGGTCGGAAGGCTTCGGGAGCTTCTCCAGCACCAAAAGACGGGCAAGGCCGAGCGTCCGGGTGAAGCTGCGCTCAAAAATCGTCTGTCTGCGTCAGTATCACTCGCGATGTTCGGTCACAGACCATACCGGATCAATCTTGGAGCGGTCCAACGATGGCCAGAACACTTCGAATCCTCGGCGAGCGTACTTTGAAAGGCGATTCTCGTACGACGGCGACCGTCTGGAAAGATCCACATGGTTGATTTGGGTGACAAACGCACCAACGGCACGCGGTGCCAGATACACCTGGCGACCATCGTACGCTGCGCACGAGCAGTCGACGTCAAAGCCGGTCAAGATCTCGGCGATGGACTTGTAGATCCGAAGGACGATTTGAACATGGCGTGTGGGATACTGCGACACGATCGTAATGGCATTCTTTGTGCGAATGGTGGAAGTTTCAGCCAGGATCGAGTCCTTGATGCGGGTTTCGATCTGCTTGATCTTCTCGATGGCTTGTTCCTCCGTCAACCCATGCAAGAACAGATCGACATCCGAGGCCGGAGCAAATTTCTCATGGTAGAATTCGCGCAGGCCGCGTTTCGAGTCGCGGTACTCCTCGGGAACGGGCAATAAAGACGTGGTCACCGCACTTCCCGCTGCAACCACATTGCTCCAGTCGAGATCGCTCAGCGCACTCTCAGAGAACAGGTTGAAGTTTGTCTGGAACTGCTTGAAGGAGGACACCACCGCTGGAGACCCGTTCGCTTTTCGATCCTCGTCTTTCAGCGGCATCAGATACTTGGCCTTGAGCTCCTCCGGCTCCGCAGACAGATCACGTGCGCGAATCCGAAGATCGGCCGAGCCATTGGCATCGAACAGCGGCACCACATTGAGGAGGTTGTCTGCGACCGCGGGGTGGGATGGTTGCTGGGCGTAGATCTTGCGAAGGACTGCATCGTACTCGTTGTATGGTCGCACAAGATCGGGGATTGACTCTTGAGGATGAGAGTTGATGTAATCGATGAAGGTGGAGTGCTTCGTGGGGACAGTGGGGAGGGTGTACGATGCGGCCATGGTTGCTCGGCGAGAGATTGAGAAAGACAATGGATGATCGTTGCAATGGACGAATGCTGAGAATTGAGTTGTGAAAACGCTTGGTTTGAATGAGGAGTGATGAAAAGGGCCCCTGGAAGGACGCATTCTTAAACTCTTGCAATCTCGAGTTCTGTTGATTCGGATGAACACAGGTTGTTGAGCGCGCCAGGCAGCTTCCCGTTGTGGCGTCCTTGATGCCTGGGTCATTTCCCGAAAAGGAAACCCACTCTCAGGCAGCCGGCGGGTGCCTGGGGAAGATCCATCTGATTGGCCAAGGGGAGCCTCAGGCCGATCGGACCCGCAGTATGATTCCTCCAATCACAGAGAGCCAGGATTGCGCTGGATGCCTGAGGCATTCAATCAGGGCAAAAGGAGATCCTCGAACTCAGAGGCAATGAATCACAGAGCGACAATGAGGTCAAAGAGCCAAAGCACGCTCGGAATAATGCGGATAAGTCATGGGCTGAAAAGGTCTAAATCCACAGCCATATTGTTGAACGTTCTAATCGGCCAAGCCAGGCCGGCAACATTTCCCCCTGAACGAGACGGACAACCCAAGAAAGATTTTGTAACGGAGTAGGTTGTTGTGGATTAGGTTACATCCTTACCTTGCATCATTCTCATGTATGATCTCACCGTCCACATCTACCCGGCATAGCCGTAGCTGCACCGAAGCGTCTACGAATGTATATAGCAGCACTCCCTCCTTGTCTACCCCCGAAAAAGACAAGGATTAGTCTCGTACCGAATCGACCTACTAGATTGCAGCTCTGTGGCTACCTATCGTTACCAATTCTTACCTAGTCAACAGGCTATCTACCCTGCCAAGTAGATCTCTTACAGATTTACCCTGAGCAAGACTAAAGAGCATCACCACAATGTCGGATTGCGAGGAGAGAGTCTGAGGGGAGGCGCAATGAGACTCCGGAGATCTTACAAAAGTAATCCATGCTGCGCAAAAGGACCGACCGGGTGATTATTTGCTACTACGAGACTTTCCCATCCCTCATTCGATGCTTTTCAAGTCGAATTGTACTTCTGCCTGGCAGGAGTAACAAACTCAACAGAGCATCTGGAAAGCGGCTGGGATATTTGAGCATTGTGCATGCCTCCTGGGAAGACACACTGCTCTCCATGCCGCTTGACAACAAGTTCGCAAGGTTAAGTGCTGTTTGATACATTGTGTGGCAGGTCTTCGGCGGTCTTGACTGTGCATTGTAATATTCCTGATGCTTTTCAACAGGATTCCAAAGAAGATGTTCTCTCAAACTTTCTCGTAAAAAGACTTTGTCCCCTGGGTCTGCATATGTTAGTTTGCATTCTTAGAGAGGATACGGATTCCTTAGTGGGCGCTCAATAGCCGGACAGGACATACCTCATCGTTTCCGGACAGAAACTGAATGCAACAGAACTGTGACTGACTTTCCGTTCTTGGTCCGTTCTTGGTCCTGGTCTTGGCATACTCGAGTGGCGATGCGACGGTCTCTCTGCCAAGCCTGCCAAGCCTGCCGAGTCCGCGCCGGAGCCTGAACACAAGGCCGTCACAATGTCAAGCCACATTGCTTCGAACTACCTGGCAAGGTGGACTTCACTTGAGACCCCGGATACAGCTTCCCTGGGTCTGAGCAGCGTCACTCATTGGCAGGGGCCACAGGGTGCCAAGTGTGGACGCGAACATTCTCCAAAAGTCGAAGCGAGCGGCAAGTCTCCAGGTCCGAGTCGATACAGGTGAAGTACATCATAGAAGCTCAACACTTCAGACTCGCTAGTCTTGCTTCTCTTGCTTCTGATATTCATACAGGAACGCACATGCTTTGGTTTCTGCTCCAAACACCAGAGGTGGCATGTCTCATGTGATGGAAGTCCCCTGCGGTGACATGCAACAGGAGGAACGGTGACATAATTCTCCGCGTTCACTACTCAATTCAATGAGGCAAGGACAGAAGCTGGGGAAGTCAGGTACATGTTACGCGGTGGCTTCCCGTTCGCGCTTCTTCCCGTTCGCGCTTCTTCCCGAGAATCTCCTTGATTCCCAAGAATCATCTTCGGCAGATCAGGAGGTACATGCATTTCGGTCCATACTCGATGAGACCAATCCTTCATTTCGCTTGCTCTCGCCCATTCTGAGCGGCTACCAGACATAACATCAGCGGTTCGGCTTGCTTTCCTGTTCGAAATCCTCTTCTCAAGAACGCCTGTCTAGCATCTCGGCATAGATGTGCCCAGGTCTTGGCTAAGAGGCCAAGAGTCGTCGGACACAATCACTTGCGAGGATCTTCAGTTTGACTTCCTCTTTGCCAATCTATGTGTTTCCTCGTGGAAATCTTATTTGTGGCTGATTCCCCTCGCTGCCCCATCTCGTCGCTGCCGAGACGGATTCAAAATGCCTCAATTTGTGCTACTGGATGCGCTTCGTCGAAGAGTTTTACCTGCCCCATATATTGGAATCATGGAGGTTCTTGTGGAGTATCTCGCTTCCTTGGGGTTCTCGCACCTCCACATGTTTATGACCATTGCATGTACGTCTGGGTGGTGCAAATGACTTATAAAAGGGAGCTCGATCCTGGTCGATGTCCGTCAATTGTCCCCTGCTCTCCTTTAGAATTAAGTGCAAACGTTCCTGATTCTCGACCCCTTCTTGCACCGAAGTGCAAAGTGGTAGGACTTAAGACGTCCTATTTCTTTGTTAACACCCGCCATCTTCATCTTCAGGTTTCCTTATGTTTCTTCCGCATCGCAGCAAACCTCTCATACTAGCCCCCTGGCAGGGAGTGGAAGTATCACACCATGTCGTTGGTTCCCTCATTCGCCGGCATGTCCGGTAAGAAGCTGATGTGGTCGGTCACATCATGTGCAACCTTGGGCTTCTTACTCTTCGGTTACGACCGTATGTACTCCAGCCTTGTGCTTTCCCGGCCAAACAGGCATCAATCTGACAAAGGCTGACTTGATGAGCTTCTCAGAGGGTGTGATGAGCAGTATCATTGACGCTGATCCGTTCAACAATGTCTTTACGGCCACAAGAGGAAACTCAACCATGCAAGGTGTTGTCACCGCCATCTACGAACTGGGTGAGTACATTCAGATGGAAAGTCTCATGGCGACATTCGATTAATCCGTGATTCTAGGTTGCCTGGGCGGCGCTCTGTCCATTCTAGCATGCGGTGACTGGCTCGGTCGACGCTGGTCCATCATGCTCGGAGCGACAGTCATGATTCTCAGAGTCATTCTCCAGGTCACTTCCTACCCCGGTCATGTCCCTTTAGCTCAGTTCTGTGTTGGATGAGTTGTCACTGGCATTGGCAACGGCATGAATACGTCCACCATTCCTACGTATCAGGCTGAATGTTCTCAGACGTCCAACCGGGGTCTCCTGATCCGTATTGAGGGCGGCACCGTCGCGATTGGCACGTTGATCTCCTACTGGGTGGATTTCAGTGCCTCGTACGGACCCCCTGATCTCACATGGAGGTTTCTGATTGCTTTTCAATGTGTTTTTGGCCTGCTCATCATCATTGGCTTGTGGTTTCTGCCTGAGTCCCCTAGCTGGCTCTTTACTCGAGAGCGGTATGAGGAAGGCGAATGTGTGATCGCTGCGTTGATGGGCCGGGAGATTGCTGATCACGATGTCCAGTTGCAGAAGACTTTGATCCTGGATTCCCTCCGAGCGTCCGTCCCCCTCTTCCCGCGTTGCCGACCCCAGTTACTAATCGTCACAGATCTGGCCAAGCTGGCAAATCAACTCCCATGTCGGCTGTATTTACTGGTGGCAAAACACGGCATTGTCGCCGCATGCTTCAAGGAGCATCATCCCAGTTCTTCCAACAAATTGGTGGCTGCAACGCCGTCATCTACTATCTCCCTGTGCTCTTTAAACAGTCCCTGGGTCAAACCGAGTTCATGTCTATGATCCTGGGTGGTGTCAACATGATTGTTTACTCAATCTTTGCGACCATGTCTTGGTTCCTTATCGAACGTGTAGGTCGTCGCAAGTTGTTCCTCATCGGATCGTTTGGACAAAGCTTGTCGATGGTCATCACATTCGCCTGCTTGTTACCCAATAACGAGCAGGCGGCCAAGGGTGCAGCCGTTGGCCTGTTCACCTTCATTGCGTAAGTGTCATCCTTGCTGTCACGGGGAAGTGAACTGGCTATTAACGTCCGCAGAACATTCGGGGCCACCTGGCTCCCCCTTCCCTGGCTGTATCCCGCCGAGATTTCCCCAATCAAGACCCGTGCTAAGGCCAACGCCATCTCAACATGTACGAACTGGCTCTTCAACTTCCTGATTGTCATGGTCACCCCTATCATGATCCGGGATATTGGGTGGGGTACCTACCTCTTCTTTGCTGTGGTCAACGCCTCATTCATCCCAGTGATCTACCTCTTCTACCCGGAAATGGCAGGACGCTCCCTGGAAGAAATCGACCTGATCTTCGCAAAGGGATATCTAGAGAAGATGAGCTACGTGCGTGCCGCCAAGGAGCTTCCACACTTGTCTGATGAAGAGATCGAGCGGGTGGCAATCCAGTACGGATTCGGTTCGGCAGACCAGGAAGCGAAGCATGCGGTGGGTGACAGCGACAGCACTGAATCCAATGTGGCACGAACCGCGGATGTGGAGAAGAATTAGGATGCTCAAATGCTGTGGTTCGATCATACATTGGTCTTTGCCTATAACTGTGTTCTTCGTATGGGTCTTGCATGGTTCGAGAGTGTTGCACAGTCGTACATGTCGAGATAGACTTGGCTAGATATTTCTGCTTGACTGCCGTAGACAATGTAATCAAACGATGAAGTGATGAGTTTCTATGTTCTGTGCTTGATTTGGTTCTCCGTCTGCCTTGAACTACGAGTCTACGACGAAGGCATGTTCCTGTGTCAGTTCTTTCTACATTCTTGATGCGAAGGAAATGATCCCATCAGCAGAGATACACAGGTGCAAGAAAGGTGCAGTAATACACTGAATTACCAGGATGATGAGTTGATCAAATGGGTTCCTCTTGCTTACTAACTTTTATGTTCTGTTGCATGGGTTTCGGGGATTCTTTGTCTTCGCCTTTCATGCCGTCTATGGATTTCCGTTTTCTCACAGCGTCTAGAGCTCGTTTCCCTGGAATAAATTGAATGAGGGAGCTCTCGATTCCAGCAACCATGATACTTGTGTGATAGTTGTACAAATATGAACACTTTCGACCCTCCAGTTTCTTCTAAGGCAGAACCTCCTTTCCCTTCCAGTCCCAACACCTTCCTCGTCCATCCTCGTTACCAGGTAGCATCTCGGTGATGATCTGCAAGAGCTTTTGAGCTGCCTCATCCGGCTCCAACATGTCCCGACTTCCCCAGTAAGCCTGGGTAAAATCCGTCCGTACCGTGCCAGGATGCAACGCGACGGCCAAAGCGCGATCACGACTCCGCGTACGCAAGTGAAGATCAAACGTCTTGGCCAATTGGAACACAGCTGCCTTGCTGGCGCGATATGAATACCAGCCTCCGGTGCCGTTGTCCGAGATGGAACCCACTCGGGCCGCCATCACGGCATAGATTGCGTGCGACGGAAGCTTGAGTCTGCTTTCATCGTTTGCCGGGTGGGATTCGCTTACCGGAAATGGTGAGCTGGATTTAGTAGGAAGAAAAGTGGCCAAATGCTTCATCAACAGTAACTGACCAACAGCATTGACCTGGAAGCTGTGCAGTGTATTCGCTCCGTCAATTTGGGCCGGCGACTTTTCGACATGAAGCACCCCGGGAACCGTCAGGGCCAGGCGAAGCGGTGAGTTAGGAAACGTCTGGTGAAGTTCCGCAGCCATCGACTCGATAGTCGACTCATCTGGGCACAATTCAGACTCAATTGAGACAAAGACAGAGACACAAGGCATACCAGTCACGTCGACGGGGAGGACCCGCAGTCTGTCGGCGGCTTCTCTAGACGCAGCCAGTCCGTCCAACAGGCGATGTCGAACCTCATCGCAGCCCTTCCGCGCTGTTGCAACGACCGGAATCTCTGTGTGGGATAAGATACGTCGTGCGAGTGCGAAGCCCAGGCCCCTCGAGGCGGGAGTGACGAGGGCGAAACCATGGGACGGATTTGCCATTGAAGTTGCAGGACGCAGCACACTGGCAAGAACACCTGAGTTGCAGTGTGGAGGATCCGATTGAACGAAATCTGTGTGTCTTAACCGGCTACGTCTGGTCGGTTCCTGTCAATCAAGGGAGAAACAGAATCGATCGAGATCGGTCCCAAAGACATTGACGTCATCGTAACTGCCCCTCCCGTCGTGCGTCGGTTCGGAACTTGCAACTCATCAATTAGCATGCCCCGATATCCTGAAGTTGGGCGGTACAGTCTCCCTCGGCATCATTTCTGGGATGGAAATCAATCTGCTTCCCTTCCGTGTCGGCCGCCATGAGCAAGCCTGGGTGCTTCCCCCACCGTGCGGCTCTGCTGTCCAGCAAGGCAGAATCTTTGCTCATCTTTGATTGCATGAGACGGACCGCGATCGTCTTTCTACGCCATGTTCGACCTTCGTCAAGAAAGACGAGCGCGTGAGGCGGCCCAATGACCCTTTAAGCCGGAGCAACACGTGTACGACCAAAGGTCAGCCCCTGGCCCCCTCTGGAACACCTACATGAGAATTGAACGAACGGTGGACTCCGTTCAGCCCCGAAATCCAACTCCCTACGGACCCTACTCCTGAAATCTAGCTCTGCGCGCCCAAAACGCGTGTCAAGCCACCCCCTTGCCTACCTTTGTTGGGATCGGCGCCTTCGTATTCGGGAATGACTTCAGAGGCTGCTGCCAAGAGACTAATAATACGAGCCATCATCCTATCGTTTGACTGCCTAATGGTATGGGAGATGAACGCCAAGCATTGATATGAGCACTGGTCCAAAAGTTCGGGAAATCGCTTTCTTGTCGGTCTGGTGTTTCTATTTTCTCAAATACTCCTGGTCCTTCCCTTGAAAGGTAGATCAAGAGTGCCATTTGTTTGCAAAAGCACGCAGAGAACCAAGATCCCAGAATACGCAACGATGAGATCATTCAGGCCCAAGAGCAAGAAGGCCAAATTGCCAGTATACAGCTTGATGGAAGAATGCAGCAGGTTGATGGACGAGAATCAGTGGCATGAAGCAACGCAAACTGAGCCATGCTGTTCAACTACTTGAGGAATCTCAAGGTCTCGAGCACGAGGAGACACTATTTATGAAGACCAATCTTGCTTACAACCTGCGCCACCTTGGTGAGTATCAGGAGGCAGAGCGCATGGATAAGCAAGTGTATGCCGTTCGACTCCAAGTCTCCGGGCCTGATGACATCGAGACGGCCAAATCCCTGAACAACCTCGCGCTGGATCTGAAAGGTCTCGGCCGATTCGATGAGGCACTGGATCTGGAAGAACAAGCATTAGAGGCTTTTTTGAGGATCAATGGGGAAAGCTCCCGTGAGGCTCAGACCAGCATGAACAACTTGGCCAACAGTTTCCGCCAGCATGGCCGCCTCCAAGACGCTGCCAGGCTGCATGAACGAACCCTCGAACTCCAGACCCGCAGCCTTGGGAAGGAGCATTTTGAGACACTCATCACGATGGATATGCTTGGGGTAGATTATCGGGAGCTCGGCCAACTTGATAGAGCTCTCCATTATCAAGTCGAAGCTGTGGAACTCTCCAAGGCCAATCTGGGGGAAGCCCACGCAACCACTATTCGATGCTCGACGAATCTGGCAACGACATACCAGAGGTTGGACGCGGCAGACGGCAAAGCCAAAGCATTGGCGCTACTGGAGCGGGCCTTGGCGCTTTCGCGGCGGACCTTTGGCGAGAATAGTCCGGAGACAGCGCCGGTGATGAACAATCTTGCCGCGGCATACGCCAGAGCGGAGCGCTTTTGTGAAGCCTTGCCCCTATTCCAATCAGCATACACATGGAATCGGAGGACACTGGGTCCCAATCACCCCAGAACTTTGGCCTCAGTCAACTTGAACTACGTGACGGAGAAGGCGGGCCTAACTCAAGCTACAGTCATCAACATATGAGCATACCCAGCACAGCGATCCTGAGGGGGAACGTTGTTAATAGAGACTTGAAAAGCGCTTCATGGACGGAATAAATTCCGTATAGAATCGACCTGATTGGAAATTGTCGAAGCACTGTATCTTTGGTATATTTTACCCTCGCTTAGTTTTCCCTTTTTAGTTAGACTCTCCTGGCTAGAGTTGCATAACCGAACCGCTAAAATTGAATCCAACCCTCACCGAACTCGCAGCGGTGAGGTTTGGTTCCTAGATTGAGAAATCGCACCGGGTTAGGGGCGGGTCAGGGTTGAATCTAGGGGGGCATTGGTTAAACCGCTAGAAACCGTTTTGCTTACTAATTACTAATTTTTAGTATTTCTCTAGAAATTTTGATATCACTAGATAGCCTAGTATCTATAGTCTATCTAAATATGAAATATCAATTCAAAATATCTAGTGGTTGGTGAGATATAAGCGAATAATCATCCCTGTCAGAGGTTGGTATGAAGGTGGTGTATGGATATCCTAGCTGTCAGGCCTCTAGGAGAATCTCCACTGGAGCCAGGCCCGCCTCTCTAATTAATGGGCCAACTGGGGAAGTCTTAAGCATGCCTGTGATGGCCCGGGCTTGTTAATTGATCATGAGTTGCATTCCTGCTACGCAGTCCCTTTGACCACACCACCAGAGCTCTGCACTATACAGGGCAACAGACTGCACTGCTGCTATTTAGATCCTCCAGACAAGTCCTGGGGCCAGCCCCTGGTTCTGGCACAGAGATCATACGCGGGCTTCAGCATTCCGGGCTTTCCATAGACATGTCTGGTAGTGTGTCTTCAATGGAAGGCCAGCATCTAGCCAGATGCCTAGCCATCGAGTAGCCTCGTGGTTAAACGGGACTTGGTGATTCCCTACCCTGATTCGGGCTCGCTATGTCTAGTCATAGAGTTCTCAGCCACGCTTCCGGGTGAATAGAACTGCTTCTGTCTTTTCTGCGTCAAACTAAACCAAATTCTCCTGACCCCATTTAGTAGCTACCTCTGCTACTTCCTGTAGCTTACTGCATGCTTCTTATACTGAATATCCTGGGGCTAGGAGGCCTATGTCATCTGCAAAAGATAATGGATGGACCCCTAGGACTGCCCTTTCTATCACAGTGAACACCCCACTAATATAGATAAGGAATAGAATAGGGGATACTAGGGATCCCTGAGGCACTCCTGAGTTAATGCCATGAGTTAGGCATTTTATGTCATCAACAATTAGTTAAACTTGTCTGGTTGTTAGGAATGACTGTACCCATCAAATCAGATCCCCATCTAGGCCTAACTCTATCATTCTCATCACAAGCTTCCTTAGATTGACATGGTCAAACACCCCCTTCACATCCATGAAAAGGGCACCCATGAGCTGCCATTATCTCCAGGCTTTATAGGTGCTCTGGATAAGACATGTAACTACATTAATTGCGCTTCACTGTTTGCAACCTCCCATCTGTCCTGGGTGTAGGCTGCTCATAGCCTCACAGTAGCTGGAAATAGCTTCTACAGCCACTTTCTCCACAACCTTCCCCAGATAGTTCAGTAAGCTGATAACCCGGTACGCCTTAACTAAGGTGTAGTCAGGTTTATTAGGCTTTCTGAGAAGGATGCCTTTAGCTATTTTCCATGCCTGTGGGTGAGTGCCTAACCAGAAGCATTGGCAAACCAGAGCCACTATCCTAGGATTGTCCCACTTCCACAAAAGCCAAAGAGCACGAAAGTTGAGCTTATCAATGCCTGGGGCTTTTTAGACTGCCTAGTGCCAGAGGGCTTGTCTGACTATCTCCTCATTCACACGCGTATGCCATGTTCCCGGGGGAATTTCTATAGCTTGGCTGTCTCCGGGTGCTGGTGGAAATGCTGTCTCCCAGATCAGGGCTTCTTTCTCACTAATATGTAAGGGGCCAAAGCCCTCTTTATTGAATCTAACGATATCAACCAAAGAAATGGATTCGTTGGAGGGAGAAAGGGAAAACAGAGAGAGATGCCCACGAAGATGGGGATCGAGTAGGCGAACAGACAAAGAGAGTCACGTGATGTCAACAACAGTCACGTGAGGAACACGACGCGCAGGCCGAAGCCAAGCAACATCCAGGCGTAGCCTGTGACATAATAGAAGTAGCCATCTCTCCCTGTGGCCCCCGGAGGGTGGGAGTAGTAGCTGTAGCTTTAGACTTAGTAAAGCCTAATGCTAGCCAGCACTGGGCTACATCATCTAGACTAGGCCGGTCCAGGGGATCTGCAGGCTTAGGTCCCTTTAGGAAGGCTTCCCAGCATTCCCTTTTTGAGCGCCAAATTATCTGGTAGTAGCTGTTTCTGGTTTCCTTAAGGTCCTGAGTAGAGATGGATTGTGTCTAAGACGCTTGCCTAGCCTGACTGTAGGCCCTTCAAGCTGATTTAACCTCTTAATTCCACCAGCATTTAGATCTTGTAGTAACTCTTATTAGTTTAGTATGCTGGTCCAGTACTACAGTCAGAGTCTCTTGAATCCATACTGCCTCCTTTTCAAGGTCATTAGCTAAGCATGAGTCATCTAGTTAGGCTCTATGTGTAGCAGGCCCATGCTGACTATAGTTAGGGCCAGATCTATGATTGAAATCCCTAGGGTTGCTTTAGGTCTTGTTGGGGTCTCAGGCTCATTATTAATATAGAGACATTCCCTCTCTATTAATTCTTCAAGTAGTCACGCGTTTATGTGGGTGCAAGTGGAGGGGTTCCATAGAGGGCTGTGGGCATTGAAATCCCCAAGAAGAAGGCATCTGCCATCTAGGACTCCTTCCCATCGCACATCCTCCACAGCTCTCCTTCATGTGTTGTTATCCCCTTGCCAGCAGTAGCCTTATCCAAGCTAATTATCATAACAATTAACTATCCAGGTCCTCCAGGCTTTTTCCCTATTTCGCCCCTTCTCCCATACATCTATCACCATAAGATATGGGTGGTTGAGGAGATCTGTACAAGCCTCTACCATTATTCTATTAAGCAGGTCCCTCCAAACAGCTATAGCCACCCAGTGATTCCTACACATTCCTGTCTCTGGCCAGTATATCTGATATCCTCTGTGTTGGAATTCCCTATTGATATAGGGCTCCTGTAGGCATGCCAGACCCACCCCTAGCTCTAGCCCAGCTTCCAGCACCATAATTATGACTGCATAGGTCTTGCAGCAGTTATGCTAAAGAACCTGCATTATTAAACACACCCAGGCCTTCTAGGGGTCTGGTCATTATGCAGATCCATTACTTCCCCAAGCATCATAGGAGGCCTGGGTGTTCATAGGCTTGCTGCGTCCAAGGAGCTTCATACTCTGGTGGTGGAATAGTTGCGGTCTATCACTGTGTACCACAGGGAGCTTAGAATAGTTTATTCTTGATCAGCTTAGTGTGTTTATCCATTCTTCTGTTTCCTATATTTCCATGCCTCTCTCCTTGCTGGACAACTTCCTGCTGTAGCTTAGTACGGGCCTTCACAGTTCCCACATTTCGCTGGTATGTGTTGACAGGCTGTTCCAGGCTTAGCTAGGCAGTTGACTACTCAACAGACATGTTCACTGCCCTCATATAGGCCGGCGCATATGAAGCAACATGGTGGGCAGTCTCCACAGGCCTTAAAGCTGCGATGGCCCAGTTGGTAGCATCTGGGGCAGACTATGTCTGCTCCAACCTCCCAATAATATTCAGTCCTATATCATGACCCTCCAAAGTAGATGCCATTCACTAGGAGCTTTCAGGCCTCTTCTAGAGACCCTACTGTGATAAGCATAGTTAAGCCCTTCTTTGTACTGTTAGAGAGCTCTTAGGTATTCCAGAGCTAGGTAGGGTCTCTCTTAAGTTGGAATTCAGTGCCTAGCTCAATCTCCTCTCAAGCTAGTTTTAAGCTGAAGCTCAAATAACATCTGATGGGGACTCCATGAACATTAATCCAATACCATTGCTCTAGGAGCTCAACAGAGATAACTATAGGGTCAGCTTGTCGGATAGCTGCCACAAGTAGGTCCTGATGGTTGGGAAGGAGCATAGATCCTAGGGCTTTCTTTTCTAAGAGGACTGAGATTACCCCTGTGTTACTGTATCCCGCATCAACTGCGCATATAAATCCTGGGAAGCCCTCACTAGCTAGTCCAGGCTTGTCATCGATAATCGGCAGAATCCTCACCGCCCACTTACCGCCTCTAGACGATCTTGAGAAGCTTCATGTTCATACCGCTCTTTTCCAATTCCAATGAATTGTAATCATCCCATTCAAAATATGGATTCTGATGCAGATTCATCCAGTCTATTCTATGTACCCACACTTGATTCCGTTGAAACTGAGTCTAAATCCGACTCAAATAGGGGGAAAACTCCAACAGGCTCGATGACATGGGCCCATACTCGACCAGCGCGCGATGATGAAGTGAAGTTTCATAAAAAAGCTCCAATCAAGTACTGTGTCCATTGTACAGATTCACCGTACGGTACTTCAGTCACTACGAATATGCGAAATCATCTTAAATCAAAACATCAGATCTCTATCCAGTCTGTTCCAAGCGCACTTCAACAAACTGTAGTCCACCAACTTCAGCAGCTTTATATTAAAGCAGAGTCCTTAGGTCAAACGCAAAACATTGATACAAAGGTTTTTCGAAGAATTTTGGACCAGGATGTTATTGATGAGGCGTTAGTCTCATTAATTGTTACCCGAAATATTCCATTTTCCCTTGTTGAATGGCCTGAATTCCATGCTCTTTGTCGAGTGCTGAATCCAGAATCAGAGGACTATGTTATCACAGCACATGCCTCAGTCCCCAAGAAGATTGAACAATCATGGCAAGCTCAAAAGGATATTGTACGGAAAAAACTCCAATCAGCATCATCAAGCATTCATCTTTCACTTGATATCTGGACCTCACCAAATCGGCTTCTCTTTCTTGGAATCTGTGCTCATTTTGTTGAGCAGAGTCAAGAAAGGCTCTGCAAGGGCCTCCTTGCTCTTCAAACTGTGGGAAACCACAGTGGAGATGAGCAGTTTGCCACTCTTCTTCCAGTCCTGAAAGATTACGGTATCCAGCAAAAAGTTGGGTCAATTATTTGTGATAATCACACTGCAAATGATAAGCTTTGTCGCATAGTGGCAAAGTATATTCAGGAAGAAGAAGGAATCGAATGGGACCCTACATATCGCCGCATCTTCTGTATTGGCCATGTTATTAACTTGGCTGTGCAAGCATTTCTGTTTCAAAATGTGCTGGAAATTAAACAACTGAGTTCATGGGATGAGACAGAAGCCAGAGAAGATGAAGGACAGAGACAGGCCGCTTTTCATAAAATAGGGCCACTGGGAAAGCTCCATAATATTGTGACGCACATTCGTGGTTCAGCTGGCCGAACAAAAGAGTTCAAAGATCTTGCAGGGAGGTTGATTCCACTTGATAATCGAACAAGGTGGAATAGCTGGTATCATATGCTTCATGTAGCGCTTCAGTTTGATGGTGCTATTGATACTTATACGAAGAAGCACTTTGCCGTGCTTGAGACAGAGTATCTGTCCCCAATAGATTGGGAGAGGCTCCATAGAACCAGCAAATTCCTGAGTCTCTTTGATCGAGCAACTCTGAAAACCCAAGGAGATCAAGCAACAATTGACAATGTGCTTTTTGTGATGGATATCATCATTAAGCACTTCGAGAAAGCCCTTGTAAGTGTTAGCAATTACTATTCTGAAGTATATGATGAGTTCTTCTGATTTATAGCAGGTTGAATTTGCATCAGACAGGGAATTCTGTGCTCGGATTCAGAATGGGTGGGATATCTTTGATAAATACTACAGCAAGTCAGATGAATCACCCCTCTATGCTGCAGCACTCATTCTTCACCCTGCTCGTCGAATGAAGTATATTCAAGCAAACTGGAGAAAGAGCTGGCAAAAGCCTGCACTGCAGAAGGTTAAAAAGCTTTGGGAGGAGTATCGGGAAAAGGCTCCTAATTATATGGTTATGCAACCATATGAACGGAATACTCAAGATCTCGATGATTTCGATCGAATTGCTCAAGACCTAGGCAAGTTTGCTCGGCCAGCAAGCCAAGATGAATATGAAGATTACAATTCTGAGTCTCCATATGAGATTCGCACCAGTGCTCTGACATGGTGGTGTCAGGATCAACAGCAAAAACGTTGGCCAAGGCTGTCATATATGGCGATTGATATCTTATCAATTCCAGCAATGAGCGATGAACCAGAACGAGTTTTTTCAGGAGCTCGTCGTACAATCTCATGGGAAAGGGCTCAACTATCAGCTGAAAACATTGAGAGGATAGAATGCTTAAAAAACTGGCAAAAGAGTGGGATTACAGAGGAGAGATACTAGTTTAATTAAATTTTGTTATGATCGAAGTCCCTGGCCATAATGCCAAGAAATTATCGATGAATCATCGATAATTTATCGTTATCGCTCATCGATAACGATTATTTATCGGCGCCTTATCGATTAATCGATGACAAGCCTGAGCTAGTCTACGGTTGACAGCTAGTATAATGTCCTCCCTCTCTGCTCTTAGGGCTATTTCCCCCTTTTCGCGACAAAAAAGTAGCCTCCAAGCCTCTCTTGGAGACTCTCTGGCTGGCTTGAGGTTGCTAGGTTCTGGCTGCTTGATTATGTCTGCCTATCTTTACAGTTTCTTCTTTTTCTGGGGAACTTCCTGCCATCCTTGGTCTCCTGGAGTGGTAGCTAGCAGGGCTGTTACATCTGCAAAGGTTGTCTGTTTCTGCAACTGCTTTACCTGTGTCCATTATCCCCATGTTTGGAATGGGTCGGGTAAGGACCTTCAAGGTCTTGCGTTTGATTCCGTTTCAGGTCTCACTGGCCCGGCTTAGGGCCCTAATAGACCCTGACATATTGCCTAACCGAGCTGCGACCAGGCCAATTATCTCATTAAGAGACCCTATCGTCTCCTCAGGGCTCCAGCGGTTTGGTGTTGGGGTGTCCAGGGCATCTGGGACGTCCATCACTTCCTCAGGCGCGGCCGGAGTCAACGCGTCCATCACACCACCACCATGGGGTTTGAGGGCCTCCATAGCGGAATTTAGGGGCCAGGGGGCCTCTATTAGTCGATTGACGCGTTAAAAAGACGTGTTTTTTGTAGGTGCTGATTTTTAGCTATCCTCTATAATCTTTATTCGGCAGACACCATAGGAAGACAGAGAATTAATTGCTACCAGTGGAAGAGCTCGGCACTCTATAAATATATTATATATAAGGGCCCTAGTAAATAAGAAGCTATTAGTATATATAATTAAGAGGAAGACTATCTATAATAAATAGGTAAAGAAATTAAGCCTTTATAAAGATTAATAAGTTCTAGTATATAATAAATTTCTATAAAAGTTCTAGAGTAAATAATTTAGCCTATATAAAATTATAAAAGCTTATCTACTAGGAATATATATATTATAAGAACTAGGAGGTTATAAGCTAAAGAACTTAGTTAATAGATAATAACTAATAAAAGTAAATATTAATAATAACCTAATATATTTAAGATATTTATAGTACTAAACTAGAAGCTATATAATGTTAGGCTATTAATAAAGAAATTAATTAAGATAAGAAAAGTATTAGATAAGGCTAAGGCATTCTTACTATTATATAAGAAGCTCTTATAGATAATAAGAGTAGAGTAGGATAATTAAAAATATTTAGAAGAATATCCTAATTAGATAGAGGAGGGTATCTTAGTAACTGAATATATAAAGAGTAAGAAAGCTTAATATATTAGTAGTAAAATTGTTACGGGCTAGACCGTAGGAAAACCTATGACTAGGTATGTACAATAAGAACTCGCTGAAGGACTAGAATAGGGGGTTGCAGGCCTGGATAGAAATATCCGATTGCGCGTCGCAGCTAGCGAGGCGTCACGTGACCTGGGTGGTTAGTACATAGATTATTACATTGCCACGTGACCCAGAGCTGTATGGCTTCGCGAGTGCCTGCTAGGCGGCACGAGCATATCGCGGGCCTTGCTCGCAACAAAAATAATAGTAAGAACTAGCTATGTAGCGGGCAAGGCCCGCTGTATGCTCGAGCCTATCAGCACTCGCGAGCTGCCTCAGGCACCAACAACTTTTGGCTCTGACTAAAATCATGAGCCCACCAGGTCATGTGATCTCGCCTGTAGTTTACACATATCTTTCCTTATCCAGCTGCTGTAGCCCTAGTTAGAACCCCTTAGTGATTTCTTACCGTCCAAACCTAGGTCATAGGTTGACCGGCTTCTAGCCCATGACATTAGAAATCACTCACTCCAAGATAGTTAGAAGAAGAGAGAAAGACACAGCCAAACCAGCAAGACAGACAAATTAGCAAGAACCAGCCGAACCTGCGAGAACCAGCTGTACCAGCCGAGCAAGAACCACGGCCAGCGAGAACTGATAGCTGCAGACAGAATTAATGGCATATAACAACACCCTAGAATTAATCATGGCAGATGAACCTAGTAGAGAACAACTATAGGTGCAGGGTAGTGCACAACCTAACCCCCTTACCTAAATAGCATAATAGTTAGCAAGGGTGATAAGTTAAATAGACTAGATAGAAGGATGATAGGTAGCCACTGCCCCTGCAGCAGCTACCCCTGTGTTAAGTAAGACCTCTATAGCACCTACCCCAGCTGTTATACCTATAGATAATAGAATAAGAAGACTAAAGCTAGTACTACTAGATATAGAAATATATAATAATATTAATAAGACTATACAGCTCTGGACAGTGGATAAAGACCATCTGACAGGTTCAGATCATGAGGTTGTGGTCATGGAATGGGCCCTGGCGGAATGTATATCAACAGTTCCATTAAGGGAGGTGACAGGGTGGCAAATCCAGGCCCTCCAGGGTGACCCTCAGGCCCTAGAGAGAGCTGAATAATTGTGGCGGTCACATGCAGAGCATAGTATTACACCTTCTACTCTAAGCTGGCAGCAAAGCTGCAGATTAACTAGGTAGTAATTAGTTCCCCCTTTAGCTGTATATAGTATGCCTTTAGCAGGTTAAAGAGGAATATAGCTATAGTAATAACCCTATAGATAGACTAATATACTTAAGATCTATCTATAGCAACTATAAATACATTAATTAGCATGCTTAACTAACTTAACCTTATATTTTAAGATATGAACCATATAGAGAAGGCTATAGAGGAGCTATACAGCTTATATCAGGGTAATTACCTATTTAGTAAGATACTAGCAGACTTTAACTACCTACTAATAGAAGTAGGAGGTTATAATTAAATAGATAATATAAAGTAAAGCTTTATAGATAGCACCCTTAGCTAGGAGATAAAAGCATAACTCTTTAACTTTATAAAGGATCTAAACTTTAAGAAATACTACTAGTAGTTATAGATAATTACAGACTAAATTAAAGCTAATTATGCGCGAGGAGAGGCATAAATATAAGATAGTAAGAAAGGAATATATTAGCTATAAATCATAGCTACCTAGCCTATATTCCTCCTACCCTAGTAGTACCTATAGCAGCAGCCATAGATGCCAGTAATTCTATAGATTAGGAACTAACATCTATAATATTAGCTAGCACCCATCACCATGCTAAATAGATTAATAAGGTAGAGCAGACATACTATTATATTAAGGGTAGATATGTTACGGGCTAGGCCGTAGGTAAACCTATGACTAGGTATGTACAATAAGAACTCGCTGAAGAACTAGAATAGGGGGGTCTGCGGGCCTGGGTAGAAATATCCGATTGTGCGCCGCAGCTAGCGAGGGATCACGTGACTTGGACCGTTAGTCCATAAATTACTTCATATCGCGAGTGCTGGGCAGCACGAGCATATTGCGGGCCCTGCTCGCAACAAGTAAGATCTTAAAGAAATATCTTTAGTTTAGTATTAGTATTAGTTCCCTTACCTTCCTAGATAGCTAGGTTAGTAAGTTTAAGGCCCTTATAGTTATCTCTATACTATAAGTTACTAGGGATTTATAGGCCTTAGATAATGCAGATAAGTACTACCTTATTATATATTATTATTAGTTAGTAGCTAGGTAGTAGTAGGACCCTATTATATTAGTTACTTATAGGGTTCCTATCACTATATAAGGTTAGATTAGATATATTTATTTCTATAGTACTAGATTTACAATTAATACTTAATACTATAGGAGGAGTATTACTAAGTAGACTTCTAATTAATAATAGCATTATATCCCTAGGGATTATTCCTTATTTATTATCTAGGTGTCTAGTTATTAATGCTATAGGGTCTATAGATTTATTTTATTAATTAGTATACTATTATATAATTATATCTAGTAATCTATAGTTAGAAGTAGTTTAAACTATAAGCAGGCTAGAGGTATCCTACTTAGAGGGTTTCTAGAAAATAAGGAGTTATTAACTAGGCTATAAGATGCTAGTATAACTATATTATTTAGATATGTTATAGGTTTACTAAGAAAAACATATATATTTATATGATCAGAATAAACTACTTAGTTCTTACTAAGCTATTTAAGTTCTCCTATTTCTACTCTGTATATTTAGAACCAGAGGTATAATTCTCCTACCAAGACAAAGGCTTGGTGACAGGAGGTCACTAGCGGTTCGCCATGTGACATATAGACTAAGCCTTAACTATAGGAAGCTCCTAGAATATAGATAAAATAGATTATACTAAACCCTCCCTCCTATAATAATACTAATAAGGTATAGTATACCTCCTTTTATATAAAGCTATAAGCTAAGCTATAGATTAACTAGTAAATAATTAGTTTCTCTTATAACTATACCTAGCTAGCCTTGTTCTATCTAACTAGAACTACTAATACTACTATACTTCCCTAGATAAATACCTATATAGATAACCCTAAGATAGATAAGTAGACCCTAGCTATAATACTAAGCTAGATAGATCTACTCTTTCTAGATAAGAACTAATAGGAGTAGGTAATATAAGAGCTCTAGATACTATATTAATTAAACTAGCTAATATAAGATATATTTATAGATATAAATTAGCTTATTATAGAAGTAGATAGCTATAGATTCTTTAATAAGATAAAGAAGAGCTATATTAATATAATAATTAATTAAGAGATATAAGCCTTACTACTTATAGTTAAGAAAGAAGAAATCTTTAAAGCTTATTATTACTAGGTCTAAGAGATTATAGATAGATTAAAAGCTAAAGAGTAGGTTAAGAAATACTTAGTTTAGAAAGGGAAAGCTTAGACTAGTTAAGTATATACTAGTATTACTATTAATATACCTATTTATTATATAGCTACTACTACTACTATACCTACTTAATCTATAGATAATACTAATATTATAGATTAAGAACTAACTATACTACTAGCCTATAGATACTATTATATAAAGTAGGTAGATAATACTAAGATAACTAAGTGTAAGGGGCCAAAGCCCTCTTTATTGAATCTAACGATATCAACCAAAGAAATGGATTCGTTGGAGGGAGAAAGGGAAAACAGAGAGAGATGCCCACGAAGATGGGGATCGAGTAGGCGAACAGACA